TGATCTCTCCTACCTTGTGTGAGAACACTATGGGACTCCAAAAAGAATAAAAAAGGAAGAAATCTCCCTTTAGCAGGAGGCATTGCCGAGTTTTTCATATGCTAAACAACCAACACAAAACATCATTTGTTTCTTTGAAGGTTCAAGTATTCCTGAAGACAACTCGAGTATCTGTTGACAATAAAGAGATTTAAAGAACAGTCAGAAGAAAAAAGAGCCTCCCTCTCCTGCATACAATAATCTTCAGTAAGCCACTACAGCGATGTCATTCTAGTTTTCAAAAGGACCTACATAATGGCCAAAACACACCTAATACAGTGTGAGTAATTCGGGTCATTGTGAAAAACAATAACACACTCTTGAAGAGGATTAGAAGTGGTTTTATATTTCCTCCAAATTAGCAAAAGAATACTGGACAAAATAATTTACGACTGGAAAAAACAATTAGGTTATTGTTCTTATGTAAACACTGAAAAGCATGCCTTTTAAAAATCAAAAATCCTCCAAGCTGTTAAGAAAACCAAATAACTATGTAAATGATGTCAAATCTCAAACAACCCAAACAAAAGAATAGCACTAAGAAAAACAAACAGTGATTACATGCAAATCACACAAAAGTCTCCAAGAGCAATCTCAATCAAAGGAAGATGACCACTCACCAACATCTGATCAGGTTTCTGAATAGCCAGTTAAAAAAAGGAGCAAATTAAGCAGAGCAAAGCATGTACTGTTGCACTTGCACTGTTTGATACTTTTAGGCACTACAAACCCCTCTCCCTAAGGCTCTAATGAAGCTGCCCTTCAACCCAACCACTGCTCTGGCCACAGCTGACGCAGTCCCCCATGGCCTATTCTTCCTCATGCCTTCTTCTAAAGACTGCAACTGACTCTTTCATACACAGAGATGAAGTTAAACCTTGTTTGGCCCCACTAAGATTTCCACACCTTCCTGAAATCTCAGGGCTCATGTCCTTCATCTTTGTGCCTCTGCATGCTTGGAAGGCAAAAGACTAGGTTGTAGAAAATGGGAGAATTAACTTAAGAGAGGAGCAATAATGGAAAAGTGGACAGATCTGCAAAACTGGAGGCTGTGGGAAGACAATCCCAAGTACACACTTCTGCTTTTGGGGAGGGAACCAAATGCCTCATGCTATGACCTCTCATGAAGCTTGAGTCTCCAAACTTAAAAAAACACAAGAAAAAAAAAACACACAAGGAGGAAACAATACGTAACCTCACTTTTGAAAAGTGGATCTTGGTATTTCAATATATCATCAAGGTGTAAACTTCTCTTGTTGCTGCCTTATCACTACAGCACCTGAAACCCATTGCTCCTCAAACAGCATGCATACTTCCTATGACACAGTGGGCTCCCAAAAGCAATATAAGCTAGCAGTCCTCTTGTGCCAGAAGTCATGAGGGGCTCAGACACTCATCAGAAAGAAGAGAAAGCAAGAACTCATTTTGCACACTTCCTTTTCCCACCTGAAAGCACTCTACCATTCCCTAATCTTTATATACACAATTCTGTAGTTCTTACACCTGTGCTCCGTTTGTTCCCTCGAGCTCACTCAGACCCTTATCCCCCTTCCTTTGTTCAGAGAAGAGAGATTGTTTAGCCCTTGGCAAACATAGGCTCTCATGACTTTCCAAAGTTGCATGCTGAGACAGCAACAAAACACCATCAGCAAGAACATTTTTTGCTGAAGGGGGCGCCAAGAAGAGGATTTTGTATACAACGGTGCCATCTTCAGTTTTTTCATGAAAACTGCTCTACTGAAATATGATGCTGGATGTAAATGGCAATTAAAAAAAAAAAAAAAAGTGCCATAAACAGCATCCAAGAGGTAGCAGGTGGCTATTCCTTCGTCTAAAAAATCAGAGCTGGCATCTCCAGCTAACATAAGAAGGTTAGTTCCCACTCCAACCTCAGTTTTGGTTCCAGAATCAGCTCACAAAACTCTTAACTGCAACAGCAGAGGACATCTCCCCCTCTGACCTCCTCTGGGGAATAGAGATGTTAAACTCTAAGAAAACAAGCAAAATAACAACTTAGCTAGATATGTATTATTTTTGCAGGCATGGCAAGAAGGCTGGGCTGCTGAATTTTTCATATTTGCTTAATCTCAAAAAATACTAGCTTTTTTCTTAAAGGCAGTAAAGGTCACTCAATTCCCTCCCTGGTAGCAAAAAATGTATTTTTCCAGCATCACCTGCAGAAAGCCTACAGAGCCATTTATCTACACCATCTGGCAAGCTTTCTTTCGTAGTCACAACATTTCTGTTTGTTCTGCTAAATAAAAAACATCATGATTCAGTATACACAAGATACTCACTGTTTGAAGAGCACTTTAAAAGCCACATGCCAAGTTCTTATTGGAACACTCTATCTGAAGTGATGTTACTAGAAAAGTCTTATCCTTATAAATGAAACACAGTATGAACATCTGTTCACCTGCTGCTTGGAAATATCATACAAAGTAGGAACTGTATGTACTCAGATCCTGGTTTCCCAGTGTTAGTCTTGTCTTTGTAGGATTCTGTTGCTAAAAGCAAAGATTAAACAACTCATTGCTATGTAATAATTCTGTAGGATCATCCTTACTCATACCTTTTGCACCTAAAATCTTCTGGATTGAACTGTATGTTCATGATTCCGTAATTGCTTTCATCGCCTCCAACAGGAACCAAGAGAGGTTTGGTATCCTCTTCCATATCTGGTCAATGTGCCTCCTTCTTCTACTTATTCTGACCTAAAAATAAAGGAAGCAAGACAACCGCAGTTAAGTAAAACTCTGCTCCTGCTACAAATTTAACACTGGCAGAATCCCACAGCTCCAGAAGCTCCTGGGGTGAAAGCCACCAGAAAATCCCTTCAACTTGCCACTTGAGAATTTTCATTCCACAATGCAGACATCACGGGGCAAGCACAGCAGGGTCAGTATTTTTTAGAACACACTATCCATTTAAGTAAAGTGGTCAATGTACAATTGTGCTCCAAATCTCTTTTAGCACCACAACAGGCCATATAAATTAAAGGAATATGATGGATGTTGTTGCTTCTATTGGGTCTGAAACAATAAAAAGTGAGGCTCAGAATCTGAATTGCCTTTGAGCAAACACAGCTAAGAATCAAGCCCACCATGTACAGATTAACATTAACTATATTCATACGTAGGTCTTTTCTTCCTTATTTCAATGCATGGCACTCCTTTTCTTACTGATCCACTTTAAGACCAGTTTGATTTTTAAAAGAAGACATATTTCCCATTTTTAACAGTACAGCTGAGAAAAGCTTATCACAGTTATTAGAGACTATTGTTTCACTAAATTGTTTCAAACTTTGCAGAAAACATAGATGTAGTTTTCCAGTGTATTCTCCAGAATAAAGATCAGATTATTGCAGTCTACCATGACCAGGCTTTTTGAATTAAGGGTAATGAATGGTTTAATAATGCATTAATAATAACATTTTACATGCATTCAGAGCATTTGTGGCCAAACAATGGGGAGCAGATCCCTTTTAAGCTAATGGAATTATACTTAGACTGAATTACAGTCCTCATATGGGACTCACTGTGGTCTCGATGTGCAGCTGAACATAATGGCTTTAACAGCTCTTATCCCTGCTACCTCCTGAAAAACTCCACAGCCAGGGCTACTCCTTCAAACAAAAATGGCAGAAATATCTGCTCTTTCAGGTGGACTGTTTCCTCATGCTTTAGAATGTTAGGGAAGATAGATGAGTTGGCACAAGACAAGGAAGAATGGCACTGTATGTTTGAAACCTGGAGTGGCAATGGAAGAAGGTCTGGTAGAAATAAGGAGGTGTCATCCTTTTGCATCCTCATGGAAATGCACTATGAAGGGCCAATCCCAAAAACTACATCAACCTAAATTAAGCACTGATTTGGCTCTAGCCCTCCTAGCTGCATACTGCCAATCCTCTCACATTAGAAATGAGTCAATGGGCACATGGGTGCTGCCAAATGACGAATCTAAGCAAAATTAAGATGAAACAGAACTTAATTTGTCTGGAACAGATAAAGCATCTTATTACTTGTATATAGTTTTTTTTTTTTTTTTGGGGGGGGGGGAGACTGTAAAGAAATACTTACAAGAACATAAAGTTATCACCTTCGAGATTAATTTACATCTTTAACAGTATTTTTTTTTCTTAGGTTAATGGGTCCAGAGGCCCGTTAAAACCGATGTAAGCTTTTGGCTGATTTATGGATCGCCCGAAAAGCTTTCACGCATTCTCTGCACATCAGACAACGCTCTGACGCGTTGCTCGTTCTCCCACTCGGGACCAGAGAAGGGGTCGCCGGTCAGTTTCCGCGGCCCGAGCCGCCCCCTCCCCGCCAGACCCAGCGCCCTGCTCGGCAGGCCGGGCGCGGCGCAGGGGCCCGCCCCGAGGGGAGGGAGGCAGGGCCGCGGCTCGGCCGCTCCGGCCGGCCCGCCCGCCGCCCCTCAGCGGGGTGAGCAAGCCGGGCCCCGGCCGGAGCGGCGGAGGCAGCGATATCCCCCGCCCCGCCTTCGCGGTGGGACGCCCCCTCACCGAGGGCCCCGCAGCGCTCCCCCGCTGAGCCGCCCGCCCCGCCCCGCCCCGCCTCGCGCTCCGGCCGGGGCCGGCGGGCGCTGCCAGCGGGCGCCACGGAAGCAGACGCGACTCCTCGTACCTGCGCGGAGGCGGCGGCGGGCGCGGCGGGCCGCGTAGTTCCCGCGGGCGGCTGCGCTGAGGGAAAACGCGCGGCGCGTAGGACCACGCTTCCCAGAGGCCCGCGCGCGGAGCGGGGCGGGGCGGGGCGGGGCCGCGCGCCTCCCTGCTGGCCAGGCCTCGCCGCGCGGGGGCGCTTCCCGCCGCTCGCGCCTCGGCCCGCGTTTTCTGTGCGAACCGAGTGTGCAGGGGGCAGCGGGGCGTTGCCGTACGGACAGGCATCTTCCGCACAGCCACGAAGAAAAGATTCGCGTGTGCTGGGAGGGGTTGGTGAGGTACCTCTGTTAGGAAAGGAGGTCGCCCGTTTGCTTCCGTGCGTGTGCGGTCAGCATGCAGGCACAATTCCTGCCAAAACAAACCACGCTCCCTCTTCACATGAACGGCTGAGCGCGTTCTGTGGGGAATGGGGCTTCCCGAGTCTCCTGACCTGCCCGGGCGGTATGCAACACTTCCTGAGCAAAGGGCAGGTAAGCAGACTACACAACAGGGACAATCGGCCAGCAAATACATGTTAGAAATTCATTATTTTTAATCCCAGGGGTGTGTTTTGGTTCTGGTTAAATCAAGTTGGGAACATGTCCTTTTCACAAATGAAGTCAAGGTCAAATTCTAGGGATATTTATAGCTCGTGTTTGGGAAAACTGCTGAGTTGCATGCAAGGAAGACTGCAGAGAAAGCTGCCCCATGTGAGAACCACATGACCAAACAAGCAAAAACACAAATACCAATCTGTACTTCCTGCTCAAGTGCAGCCCAGACCAGTCTGTGGGGCAAGCAGCAAGACTCGCCCTGTGAGAATGCTGCTGTGTAATTGAATTTCAAACTGGAAGGAAATGAGGCAGTAGAGACTAACACCACCCACTACCCTGAAATTCAGCTGCATACAAGCTCCGGCAGACCAAAACTCTTGCTTCTGTGTAGCCCAGCATATTCACTATCATATTTTGCATGTGAGCCACTCTTAGAATCCAAGCATAGGCTGTCTCTTGGACATTTGAAGATGTTTGTTCATGAGTCTGGTAGTCTGTCCACCTGTTACCACATGAATTTGAAAGGCAATTGCTGACACCTCATGCTGGTACTATGAAAGTAAATTAAGCCCCACAAAAGTAGAGATCTATGGGGAACTGATTTTCTTCAGCATGCAAGCATCTAGTATTACTCTTGCAATGAAAGACTTGCATAGTTACTATTAAAGCAGATAGATGACCTGTATTTCATTGCATTCTTGGTCACCAACTACTACCCTCGAGTTATGCTTACTGTTTTATTGTAAGAACTGCAAGCGAGCCAAACAGAAGTGTGGAGATTCCTCCTGCTCCCTCATGAAAACTGCTGCCAACAGTCCACTTCCTTCACAAAAGGGTATTTAGTCACTGGCTTGCAGTATTTGTGTTATGGGTCCCTATTCTGATGACACATTACCTTCTGGCCAAAGAGTTTCTTCCTACATGCCTGGGCAGCGTCTAGAAAAATGGGAGTCCAAATTCATTTAGGACATGTTGGTAAATCTGTAGGACAATGTAGGACAATCCAGCTCTTTAGAAAATTTCCACCTTATGCTATATTGAATCTTCTTTTGATTTTAACCTTTAGGCATACTTTGCTCTGTACTTGAAGGCGTAAGGTAATTGTAATGTACACAAATTCATAAACTTGAGGCATTGTAGAACATTGGAGTGGATGAACTAGTGACTTTCCCCATCATTGCAAATGGAGGCATGGTCACATGACTAACAAATTTAGTGGGGTTTGCATTTTGTTAGAGAATGTCCTGGGTTGAGTGAGAGGTGTTTTTTTTTTTGGTAGCAGGGGAGGGGGCTATAGGGGCTGCCCCCTGTGAGAAGGTTCTCAAAGCTCCCCCAGCTCCAAGTGAGATCTACCTCTACACCAAAACTGAGCCAACCAGCCACATCTCTGTGATAACGAATTTAAGAAGGGCGTGACAAGCAGTAGGACTTGTGAAGAGGAGTTGCAGCAGCTGCGTGAACACCAAGGTCACTGGAGGAACAGAGGAAGAAAGGAGGGGGGAGGTGTGCTGGAGCAGAGACCCCCCTGTATCCTCTGGTGAGACGGCAGGGCAGCCCCCCCTGCCACCCATGGAGATCTACAGTGGAGCAGATGTTGATTTATGGCCTGTGGCTTCTGCTTGTCTGATCAAGGTGCTGTGCCTGAAGGCTGGGGTCCTGTGGGAAAAGGTAGCTCCCGCTGTTGTAATTCAGCGCTGGGAGGATTGCAGCATGTGGGGGTGTCCCACACCAGAGCAGCTCGGGAAGGGCTGCAGCTGTGGGAGGGACTCCAGTTGAAGAAAGTTGGTGACCCATGACGGAGCAGTGTGGGGAAACGCTGCAGTCCATGGGAGGGACTCACATCAGAGAAAGTTTGTGGAGGACTGTCTCCTGTGAGAGGGGGACCACGATGGAGCAGGAGGAACAAGTTCCAGAAGCTCCCCCCACCAAAGATGGAAGAAGTGGCAGCACTGACTGCACACCCATTCCCTGCCCCTGCGCTGCTGGGGGAGGAGGTAGAGATATCGGGAGCAGAGCTGAGGCCAGGAAGAAGGGAGGGGTGGGGGGAAGGTGTTCTCAAGATGTGGCAATGCTTCTCACTGTTCTACTCTGTTATGTGTTGTTAGTGTCTGTAATAAATGTATGTTCTTTTTTCTTCCCTTAACAAGTCTGCCTTTTGCTCATGCCCATAAAGGGTGATTTTTCCCCCATGCCAGTCCTATCTCGCACTCCAAGCCTGGCTCTCTGTCCCTTCTTATTTCCAGAAGAGAAGGGAGAGAGAGTGGCTGCGTGGTGGTTGGCAGCCAACTAGGCTCAAACCACGACAGAGAATAATCCAGATTTCTTTCAGAAAAATACTGAAAATACATTAGGTTAGTGCTTAAGATGTAGAAAGTGTTACACTTAAAATTTTGTTTGTAGGCAAAGAGAAATCACACCTTGTATATAAGTAATGCCAAGAATTTGTTGTTAGTGTAACTGAAATCTTAAGAGTCTAATCATCATTAGTCCAGCTCTTATTGTTACACAAAAAAAATAGGGTTTTTTTAATGCACATGTGTACTTTCTACCCCTTTTCCTAGTGTTGTGCTAGCTAAAAGAGTATAGTTTGGTCCAGGCTTTTAGTGTTAGATGCTCTGCAGTTTAAACCCTTGGTTTCCAGAAGCAGAGTCTCAGGCATCAAATCTTGTCCCAGAGGGAAACTGAGCACTACACAGCTGCTCACTCACCTCTTCCCCCTCAGGAATGGGAAGAAGAAAATAAAGCAAAAGGCTCGGGAATAGAGATCAGGATGGGGAAGGATGACTCACCCATTACAGTCACAGGCAAAAGAGAGACTCATTGAGGGAAGAAAAAACATAATTTTAATCCAGACACTAACACCACCACAACCACTTAACAGACAGAGTAGGGCAGTAAGAAGCATCACCACATCTCAAAAACACCTTCCCCCACCCCTCCCTTCTTTCTGGGCTCAGCTTTGCTCCTGATTTCTCTACCTTCTCCCCTCAACGGCAGAGGGGGGCAGCAAAGAGGAAGGGGGCTGGGATTCAGTCAGTCTGGCTACTTCTTTCTCCTTGGCATGAGGGGGAACTCCTCACATTCTTCCCCTGCTCCAGTGTGGTTCCCCTCTCATGGTCGACAATAATCCACAAACTTTCTCTGACATGGGCCCCTGACACGGGCCACAGTGTTTCCTGAACTGCTCTGGTGTGGGTTGCTCCCACATGTTGCGGTCCTCCCAGCAGCGAACTACAACATCATCAGGGGCTTTCTCCCTGAGTCCTGGCCTCCTTTGGGCACAATCACCTGCTGTAGCGTGGGGTCCTCCATGGACAACATGTGGGCATCTGCCTCACTGGTGATCTCCATGGGTGGCAGAGGGGGGTGACCCTGCTGTCTCACTACAGGGTACAGGGGTCTGCACCAGCACAGCCCCCCTGCATCCTCCTTGTTCCTTCTACTGATGTTGGCATTCCAATAGGTGTCCTTGGAACTCCTCCTCACAACTCCAGCCCCTCCTCCCAGGTTCCCCTTCTTAAATACAGTCTCACAGATGCTCAGCCATGGTTGCTGATTGGCCCAGCCCTGGACAGAGGCAGGTCTGGCTTGGAGCCAGGGAAGCTTCTAGAAGCTTCTCATAGGGGGCCACTGCTGTTGCCACCTCTGATGCTACCAGCCCCCCCAAACCCAGCACACTCCTAAAAATAATTCAATGAAGTGGCAGCAGCATCAGTTCAAGCAGGGTGGCCCCAGAGAGGGACCCTGAACAAAGGAATCTGTGGGTAATTATACTCTTACAGACTATGCATCCCCCCTTCATGCAATCTCAAAATTCTCAAAACAGGCTCGCAGTTTTTCGAAAAGTTTTTCTGGTGACGAGAATTGGTTGAACCTGGTGGAGCAGGTTACAGAGTATCACATTTGCAGAATGATGTAGACTTCCTTTATGATTTTGAGAATAACCACTGCTGTACTATTTCACAGCATGAACAGAGATGCAGAGAAGACATACGCTGCACCAACAGCTGAGAAACACAAGAAGTGTCAGAACACTTGTCCCGATTTTTCATGGATGTGTTAAACAGATACAAGTCCCATCTATGTTCTCATGCACTCTGACATAAATAAAACTCCCAACCCAGGAATTTAGCCCTTTTATTTTTTCAAGTCTGGTATAACAAAAAAATAGTATGAAGGGCATGTTATTCTTAAATTTGTTTGTTTTTTAAAATAAATATATAGTCTGTTTAACCTAAACATTTTTTTATTATTCTAGCAAAGGAGTATGTTCTGTTAGCTATTATGCTAATTCTTGAAAATTTTGTTTGCAGTTAAATGATTAATATCTTGGTTGCAGTACTGCCAGACAGTGGAATTTCCCTTTTCTTAGTAGATGTTTGCAAACTAAATCACACTTTAACAGTCATACATGAAGAAATTAAGGAGTATTCAGATGCTCGGAGAGCCGAGCGGGACGACGGCCGAAGCGCAGGAGCACTCAGACCCCGCGGGTCTGCGTTTCCCGGGGATCCCTCCCCCACTCTCGCCGAGCCTCCCGACAGGCGCGAAACGGCGCGCCGCCCTAACGGTCCACGGGCAGCAACACACGCGCTCGGCCGATGACCCGCGCTCCCATTGGCTGGCGGGCGGGCGGGCGAGGCACCTGACGGGCCCGCCAGCTGCACGTGGCGTTGCCGTTATAAGCAGCCCCGGGCGGCCTTACCGTCTGGCTTCAGGGCGGCGCGGCGGCGGAGGGAGGCAGGAGCGGGCGCCTGTCCCAGGGAAGCGGGAGGCTCTCCCCAGCCTCGGGCGGAGGGGGGAAGCCGCTGCTAATGTGTTTTGTTTCTTACAAGCAGAGCTGGCAGGGGACAGCATGAACCAAGAGGACTGGAACGCAGAGATGGGGGACAAGGAATCGGCAGTCCTCCTACCCCTTCAGCAGGTACGGGGTGGCCACTGTTGGGCTGTAGCGTGGTTGTTTCGCATCCTTCCTCTCAGCCCTGGTCCTGCAGCCGAGGTTGCCTGCCCTTTTTCTTTCCTGATGCATTCCTGTTCCTTTCTGTATGTCAGACCTAGTGTTTCTGAAGTTGTAGGATAAATTGAGAACAGGTTTTGGGTGTTAGGAGGCTGCAATTTTTTACACTGATCAGCTTGGTTTGATGGTCCTTATTAGAGTCTGTTGAATAGTGAAAGCACATTGGAGGAATTCTATTATTGAGGATTAGCAGAACCGTGTCGTCTGCTGGTAGTTCTTGGCTGTGAGTTAGATAGCTGTAACCTCTCTTTGTTGTTCATGTCTTCTTAGCTATTCTGTTTGTTGTGTCTGCCTGCTGGCAGTCACTGAATTGATACTTCTTTTTACCACAGTAACAGATAGAACATGGGTGACCCTTTTGGCTGATCTTCATTGTTCAATTAATGCTGTTCTTCATATTGTTCCTAAACTTTATGGTTTTAAATGTATAGCTACTGTAGGAAGAGTGAGGAGTGTGCCTCTTTGAGGGCTGTACATAGGACTTTACATATGACTTAAGAGTATGTTTTTACGAATCTGGTAGGTTGCTATAGGAGCTCACTCTTAAGAGGTTTCCTCTCCATAAGCAGTTTGCTTGCTGCTGTTTTATTCAACCAGTGCTTGCTACATATACATTTGTGACCTCTTAATTTTCTAAAAATTGAAATAAACAGAAAGGGCTTAGATGGTCTTGACCACCAAAGCTGGTAAAGAGAAAATAAATGGAACCTTATCTTCTCTTGATAGTAGTGAGTTGTTACATGGTCTTATTTGCTTGGAAAACTGCAGTCTTGGAAAATGGGAATCTGACTTTCAAGCAGGTTTAAATGTGTATAGGAACCAAGTCAATTTAATTGCATCTGTAGCTCTGCGTAAGTGGGTCTCATCATGGTGGTTGTGTTCTAAAATAAATTGAAGTGGTTCCTGTATTGTGTAAAGGGATTCAATCCTTTCGTTCTGTATTTTGAAAGTTTTTTAATACCCAGCTTTTTAGAGAAGAAAAGCAAAGAGGCTTATGGATCCCGAGTGGGATTACATAGCAGTTTCTTTGCAGATCTCTTTAGTTTCCAATTTACCTTCTCAACTTGTCAGGAAGCTATAATATAGCCAGGCATAGGCGGAGCTGTTGCTGCTTCTCAGATGTTCTGTTTAAGTTGCTTCTGTGAGTTGTGTCTACTCGGCTTCCCCACCCATGCTCCAGTGAGCTGGGCTACTACAGCATTTGCAAATCCATCTCACTTAAACCGGAGCTGGAAAAGCATGCTTGTAGAAGTTACTCTTGAGTTAAATTCCTGGCAGAAGAAAAGCTACAGTAAGGTTAGGATGTTGTACAATTAAGTTGTTAAACTGTGTACAGCTTAATGCTCTCAAGAGTTTGGCAGCAGGTGAGGATTCTTAAAACACAGTTTTGGAGTTCATAGCAAAACTAGAGTGCTGTCGGGTACCTACTGTCACACCTAGTTCTGAGCTAAATCTTGTGTAGAAGTTGTTCCTATTCAATTCTGCTGGTTTTTTTTATATAGCAGAATGCATTGGTGTGAGATGGAGGATGAAGATAGAGGAGCGTAATGAGAGACAGCTAAAGAATAATGTTTTGTTGCCTCTGCTATTGCTGAGTGAATATTTGTATCAGAAGAAATTACAGTAAACTTGAGGAGAATCAGTAGTGAATCTTTAATGGTTGGTGTTGGTCATAACGGTTGTTTAAATTCAGCCTTGAGAAACAGGGAGGAAGAAGAGAAGCAAATGGTTTATCCAGGTGAATGTATACGGCTGAAAGTAAAGTTGTCAAAAGAAGTTATGACATACACTTTCAGAATAGTAATTTTACCAGTTTGGGTTTAATTTCCTGTAGTGGTTGCTAGCCACATTGAGCAGTGTGAAAGCTGTAGTAATATCTAAAAAGCATAGTCTTGGAGCAGAAGGCTTCGTAGTTATCTGATATTGCTTGGTCAGCTGGTGTTTTGGCTTACTAGTACATGTCTGTCATGCATTAAACAGGGGAAAGTTAAATGTGATCTATGCTGGAAATAAAACTGACCATGAGTAAAATAGGAAAATTAGATGCTGTTCTGAATTGCTTGAAATGGGAGTATCTGAACATTTGAGTAAATAAACAAGGACTGACATTTCAAGTATATCCTTTTAAAATAATCTGTAGACATCTTGTAGTAAAACCATAGAAATGCAGTTATGAAACTGATGAAAATAGATTTGTATTCACAGTGCAAACAGTTTGAAAGATTGGCAAAGGAAAATACTTTAAACATTACAGTATGGTTTTGAACAATGGAAGTTTCTTAGAGCTTATTTGTTGTCAAGGTGACAAAGCTCATGCTGCCATAAAGCAGTGGCAGAAGGCAAGATAAACTTGCTTCATATGTCAGTTGTGTGTAATGTGGTTTTGGTGAAATTCAGATGCAAGGAGTGTGCCATTTAGTATGCTGAAGTGTAGTAACCTGAAGTGAACAGAATTGTCTGAGAGACTGCCTTTCAGAAGGTGCAGATGGCACCTTCTTTCAAGTGCAAGACGGCAACTGCATTTGTATTTATGTACTTTGCTTGGCCTGGGGTTAACAAGATGTTGTGCCTTTTTTTCTTTTGCAGGCTGACTTCTCTGAAAGACCAAGTGGCCCCTCTTTTGGCTTCAGTCCACATATGTGCTCATTGGGTATGTGAAAGGCACTTCTGATTTTACTGACATTTGGGGGAGTTGATTCCTTGAACAATGTAAGAGATTAAGAAAACTGCAGTGATATTTTAATGTGTTCCCCATGCAGTAAGTGACATCAAATTATACAGGTAGCATAATGAGTAAACTTTCCTTTAGACCCTCAGCCTTTCTCTACTGCAGTAACTTGTTGAATATAGCTTCTAATGAGAGTCAATAGGTGTTACCTCACATAGATTCCTAGAACAGGCTGTGCCAAACATGAACAGTATTGAAAATAAGTGTTATGAGCAGTGCTAGTGAGGTCCTGTCTGCCAGCTGTGTTGAAAATAAGAAAAGGTCAGATGTTGAACAGAAACTTTGATCCATTTAAAAAAAAAAAAAAAAACAAACAACAAAAAAAAAACAAGACAAACCCACTAATGTTTGCTATCAGGTTTCTATAAAGCACACTTGGTTTAATGAAGATGATGCCTTTATAATCTTGAACAGAAGTTTTATATGTAGAAGGTGGAAGAAGTTTACATATAGAAGATAGAAGTTCTAAATATGCCAAGCCAAGGTTGCTGCTGAAGGTGGTTTGCCCAAGGCTTTACTTTGTGTGATTTTTACCATAGCCAGATCAGGAAATGGGTTTTGTGTAGAACTAACAGTCTCTGGGTGATGGCACCTGAGGTGTTGTTCACTGTAGTCTCTGAACTCAGGAGTGGTCTTTAAGACTTCTTGACAGTATTTCAACTTCAGTGTAATTGAGTCTGAGGTAAAAGCTTTGAGCTTAAGCATTTAGTTAATCCAACTGTGGAAGAACAAGCTAAACTCTATCTTAACAAATTGTTCTTCGCACAAGTCATGTTGATGTCACAGTATCGTAATATCCCAGGTTGGAAGGGACCTTGAAAGATCATCTGGTCCAAACTTTTGTGGTAAATGAAGCCTAGATGAAATTGTCTAGCACCCTGTCCAATCCCATCTTGAAAGTCTACAGTGATGAGGACTCCACTGTGTCCCTGGTGAAGTTTTTCCAGTGAATGATTGTTCTCGCTGTAAAAATATTCTATTGACATGAAACCTCTTTCAGTATCGCTTCTACCTCTTTGTCTTCTCCATGTGGCTCTTTGTGAAGAGAGAGCCCTGTCTTTGTAGCACCCTTCAAGTATTGGAATATTGTGATAAGATCCTCCCTTGGACCTTTAATTCTCTGCAGAGGAAAGACCTAGCTCCCTCAGTCTTTCATCACAGGGCATGTTCTCCGTATCTTTATAACTGCTCGTGTTTATGAGCAATCAGAACACAGCAGTATGTTTATTGTTGAAGTATCTCTGCCCAGCCTTCTAGTGTATAGCTGAAAGGCACGCTTTCCTTGTCCCCAAGATGTTGGGAAATTATTAAAGGCAGGAATAAGATACTACATGTGGTACTTGAATTCCTCTGAACTTGGACAGTTAGAGGAAGTAGAAAATTCAGAGGACAGGCTTTGCATGCATCCTTGAACAGCAGAAGTGTTTTGTGAGGTCTCCAAGTTGCTAACTTCAGTAATGGTTTGACACAGAACAAATAGGAAAGGGCAGTGCTTGTGAAGAGAACTTGAATTGCAAGTTAGGTGAAAGTTAATCTTGGAGCTTTGTGTTTTGTTCTAGCTCTTTCTTTCTGACTAGCTGTCAGCTTTGCCTGTTAACTTTTTCATTACATATTGCAAAGATAACATATTTGTGCCACTTGTACAGCTGTTGTTCAGGGATACACTGCTGCAGTGCTAGATTTTAATTCCACTGAATTGTAAGTAAGGACTCATTCTAGTCCTCTTTATCAGTGGTAAATGGTATAGCAATCAATTAAACACTAGCATTTTGGACTCCCTATAAGACCAGCTAGCTTGCAAACTTAAATAGACATGAGTCGCATGAATAATTTGCATAGTAGGCAAATGATAATTGTTAAAGTTACTATACTTTAACCAATCTTGAGTTGGTTGTCAAGTAACAGTGCAGTGTCCAATTGACTTGGTGTAAGTGCTAAACAGAGCAGGCTTGTGTAAGGAATGATTACTTGTTCTATCCTGTTCACTGTCTATACATCTGTGTTTTTTGTCCAGTATCTTTCATTGGTAGAAGTAGTAAACTCAGAGCAGCATGGTGAAGGAACTTATTAAAGCAAATGCTTTATTGATCAAGTATTTTGTTGACACACGATGTACTTTTCAGAAACTTTGAATATTGAATTAGTGTGCTTAAGTTGTAGAAATCTTGGTGAAGGAGGAGTGATAGAGTTGATAGAGTAAAAATGGGTTAGGATGTCAAGTAAAGGGAAGAGAGTCTTCACCCCTTCAGAGGCAAATGGACTTGGTCAGTAGAAGCCAATCTATTGTAGTAAACCATAAAAATACCAATTTAAATAATTGGTAAGGTGTTTTTATTTGCTGCTTGTTACATGTTAGATTGAACATGAATATCAGAATCTTTTACATCAGCTTTGTCAAAAACTAATCACTTAAATCTTCCAGGTGAGCCAGAACTCCGAACATTGTTCAGACTATGAAAGCAGCAGTTTTAATGCTTTAGTGTGGGAAACTTTGCTTATACCAATCTATCATGGTTGAGACGGACAAAACTACAAGACAGATTCTTCTTTAAAGCACGTTAACGCCAAAAGCAAAAAGCTTTTATTGCTCTTCTCCTTTGTTCCTTTATACTTTTACTATAGGATATACAAACTTTGCAGACTGCCTGCCAACACGTTCCTTCATGTATATGTTCATACATTGCATGTTCATGGAAATGAACCCTGGCTCTTGCCAGGGTGGAGAAGTTAATATGCATAGGCTCATCACACTAATGTAGCAGGATGAAAAGTTCAAAAGTTGAAGCTCCCAAGCTTTCTAGTACCTCTATCCACCTAAAACTAGTTCCAAGTACAGGGTTATCAGTTCTTCTGATGCCTCTTTTCTTACTGGTTCAGAGCTGTTATGCTCTCTTACTGTGGTTGATAAGCTTGCTCATCTTGCAGCTCCTCCTGTTCTTGTTTGCTCTTTCGGGGTAGATTGGAGTACTTTCCCAGGGCCTCAGTACAGCTGAGATTCCCCCACACCAGTTGAGTGACTTGGATGATGTTTGGTACATTACTGCCTTCAATCTTCAACAAGCTCTTGTATACAGGTGATATTTAACTAATACGTTTGTCCTGTTCCAGAATGTACTAGTGCATAGGGTTTATTTTTTTCCCCAGAGGTAGCTATATCGTTATGTTAAGCAGTTTTAACTTGGAAGGAAAACAGTAACAATCAAGTTTGTGATATGCCATATACTTGCATGCCATGGAATTTTGTAGCTCCCCTGGCTCCAGGTTGGACCCACTTCTGGCCAAGGCTGAGCCGTTCAGTGTTGGTGGTAGAACCTCTATGATAACATATTAAGGGGGGACAAAAAGACTGCTGTAGAACATACAGCAGAGAGGAGTGAGATGTGAGAGGAACAGCCCTGCAGGCACCAAGGCTAGTGAAGAAGGAGGAGGAGGCCGCTTTAGGTGTGAGAGCAGCTTCCCCTGCAGCCTGTGCTGAAGACCATGGTGAGGCAGGCTGTTCCTCTGCAGCCTGTGGAGGTTAATGCTGGAACAAATACCTACCCGCAGCCCATGGAGAACCCTGTGCTGGAGCAAGTGGATGTTCCCAAAGGAGGCTGACCTTGTGGGAAGCCTGTGCTGGAGCGGTCTGTTTCTGAAAGGACTGCACCCTGTGGAAGGGACCTATCGTGGAGCAGTTCATGAGGATCTGCAGCCTGTGAGAAGGACTCAGGTTGGAGCAGTTCATGGAAGACTCTCCTGTGGAAAGGACCCCACACTGGAGCAGAGGAAGAGTATGAGGAGTCCTCCACCTGAGGAGGAAGGAGCAAGAGAGACATGTGATGAACTGACCACAACCCCCATCCCCTGCCCCTCTGCACTGCTGCAGAGGGAGGAAGTAGAGAAATTGGAAGTAAAGTTAAGCCCAAGAAGGAAGGAGTGGGAGGGAAGGTGTTCTTCAGACTTGTAGCTTTTTCTCATTATCCTACTCTGATTTGATATGTAACAAATTAAGTTGATCTTTTCTCCTGAGTGTTTTGCCTGTGACCATAATTGGTAAGTGATCTCTCCCTGTCCTTGCATCAACCCACCAGCCTTTTATTTCATTTTCTCTGCCCCATCCTACCAGGGTGAGGGGGGAGGAGTGAGTGAATGAGTGGCTGTGTGGTGCCCAGCTGATAGCTGGGCCTGAACCACAATGACTTCATTGCTTTGTATGTGAGGATATTACAGGAGACAATGTCAAAAGCCTTACTTTCTTGTTTTCCAGGTGCTATTGAAAGACCTAACAGGAGTCAGGATATGCAGAATTATTTTGAAGTGTATGGTAGGAGTAGAGGTAGGATTGCATGGTAAAAATTTGTAGTTTTGGGGGTGATTAAGCATTCCTTTTGTACACAAGATTTATAATGAAGTACCTTATTGTTGTCTGAGTAGATTCTGGAAATTCGAATTTGGTATGCTGTTAGCAGTACTGTTGCTGAGTGGTGCTATTCCTTATGGAAAACAATAGTTGCACATTTCCCAAGCTTTGTAATTTTAATTAATTTCCTTTGTATTATAAAGTGGACACCCTTGACATGTATTATGTATTTGAGTGAGAGGTAGGCTGCAGACCTGAGGTCCCTTTCAGCATGAATGCTTCTGTAATTTTAATGTTGAGTTTTAAAAAAAAAAAAAACCAAACCAAAAAAACCCCAACAAACCCAAAACTAGAACACCAACAAAAAAACCCCAAAGCCTACCCTGAAATCAAAGATAGCTTTGAATATTCAGTTGATTCTTTTTTTCTAATTATAGATGCTGGTGAATGTGTGAACAGACGATGTCAACCAGTGAATAGATTTAGTAGTAGAAGGAGTTTTGGAAACAGAGGTAACTTTCTGGAGTGTCTGTAATTTGAGTGGCTAGTGTTATTTGATACATTAAATTTTCCCTCTTCAGGTACTTAGTTTTGTTGTATCAGAGACAAATGAGCATTTGTGACTTGGAGGGTAATGCCAACCCTTATTTACGTAATATTAGGTACTCGGTATCACCCGTTATTTTTGACTGCACAACATAAAATAACCTGCCATATTTGGCAGTAGGCAGGAGACTACACTTTAAATATTTGCTCTACCTCTTTCTTTGATTCCATTCTCTGTGGAAAGAGGTATTTTTGTGATTTTTTTTTTTTTTTTTTTTTTTTGTTATAGTATAAAGGGCAGCTGAATATTAATATTCACATATATGCCATGTGAGGGAATATACCAGTGCTCTTCTGTGGAAGACCTGAAAGCTTGCTTTCTTTAGTATCCGTAAAGCAATATTTTATCCCTGTTGTCTTCCTGCTTACAATAGTGAGTGGTACTATTGCATCCAATGCACATTGGAGAGGTTAGTAATTGACAGTTTGGCAGTACTGCCATAAATACTTTTATCAGGTATTACTGGAAGTACATAGGGCAGTGGAAGCTACTGTCATGTCGCATCTGTCTGGATAATTCCGGGGCTGTAAGTTGGACTTCTTATGAAACAAGGAAGATGGAAATGCTAGTCCTGGTTTGGGCATGTTTAGCAGAAATTCCGACCTGCAGAACAGCTGTGGAGCCTCTCAAAGTTGTTTGTTCTACATGCTGAACAACACCTTCCTAATTTCACTTTTCCTTTCTTCTTATTTTCTTTCTCTAAGGCTAATACCCTTGGGTCCTGTGGGAGGGTGTCAGTCCACAGTCTGTTTGGAATTCAGGGTGATTCCAGAGAAGGTGTCTGTTTAGGAGACTTCCTCCCACTTTCCCTCTCTCCTTAAACAACATTAGTTGTAACAAAGTATTATAATTCAAGGTTCTGTTAACGGGCCATCTTTCCCCATCTAATTTATACAGAGGCCACCATTGATTACAATATTTTATTAAAGTCCTCTTGTTCACACTTGCGCTTGCCTTCCTCTTATATTTTTACAGTGAGCCAAGATGCAGCCCAGAGGGCTCTTTCTTTAAAATTCCCCCACTCTGTTTCCCTCCCATACTATTGGTTTTGAGGAGAGTGGGCTTATCTAAATTCTAATTCTACTGTCTCTGTATGTTTGCCAGGTTCATACAATATGCTCCTTTAAACTGAGCTGAGCGGTCAATTCTGTCCCAGTCAGACCAATTCGCTTTACATTTATTACACCAAAAATAATTTCCAGACTTCTCTTCCACACCAAAAACTTCCAAAATATGTGCTTTGTTTGTCTCTGGCCACTCTCCTCATGGAGAATATGGAACTGCGGATTGGAACTCCACACTCGCTTTGCTATCAGACTGTGTCTTGTTCATACCACAGTCACACAAAGAGGCCCCTCACACTCACAAAATGCACCAGTTAGGACAATAAACAAAATTGTAAACCATTAGCTGTTTGCCACAATTCAAGCCCAGAGCATACCCAGTAAGTTTCACTTATTAAAATCAGAAATTGGTGATCACAATGTAAACCTCAACACATGATATATGGTACCGGATTTTTACAACAGATAACAACAATAATGGGCTCCAACAGATGGCATAAATGATAGCTATCTCACTTGTGTAGTGCCCTTAATAAGGGGTTCCTGCAAAGGCTTGTGTAGTGCCCTTAATGAGGGATTCGCACAACCTGTTGCAGGATTTGAATCTCAACCACCCAGGGGCGAGCACTAATGCTCTTTACCTCATGTAGGATGTCTCCTCATGACTTACAGGTATCCCCTCCTAAATCCACATACCTGGTCCACTGATGGTCCGTGTCTGCCCCTGCAATGATTGAATGAGCTAGGGAGCGCCTCTGAGAAGCCTCTGGGCATGCCTAGGACATCCCCCTCTCAGTTGGTCCTGCAGCCGGACAGAGAGGGTCCCATCTGGGTCACCAAATTGAAGTGCAGAAACAAACTTTACAACTCACAGGGAGTTATAAAGCAGGTATGTTTATTGCAGTGCTGGGTGCAAGGGGGATTGTTCCTCCTAGCTTGCACACCACCAGCATGCTTTGCCCAAAATTTATGCAGTCCAGTTATACATATTCATGGATTTATGCAATACAAACATACATATGCATAAGTGAGGTGGGGTTAGTTTGTGTAGACTCAGATCTGTCTCTGGTGGTCATTTACTTCTTCAGAGGTCTTGCCTTCCTCTTCGTCTTTTGTCCTTTAGATGAACTTTAGCCATTCATGCATGCTCTATTCGTACTTGGTGATCTCAGCAGCCTTTTAACCAGTTTTGTGGTCAAGCTGACACCATTATTATTGTTATTTCCCTCTGTGTCTAACACAGTCCTTGACAAATACCAGTCCCTGATAAGCTTAGGCACCAGTCTCTAATAAACAAGTTTCAAAAGAACGTTCAAGGTGTCAAAATAACATTCAAGGTAAACAGGATTGTTAAGAAATTGCAAAACAGTTAGTTCCCTATATCATCTTTAAAAAATGCCGCACCATTTCTGCATCTCATGGATTGATGCCCAGTATGGTTGGGGAATGCTAGACATGTTTGACTAAATAGGCAGCAGCACCTTGCTGGTGCTGTGGAATGACGATGAACAGTTCTGCTGTAGACTTCGGCAATTGCAAAGCAACTCCCAAGCTGTATTTAAGGTCTGTAGTGTTTATGAATGTTTATGTAGACTGTCTTTTGCATGTAAGCCTGCAAGATATGATTTTTATTTCTTTAATTTGGCAAAACTCAAATGACATATGAATTGGTATGCACTAAATAAACTTTGGTGGAGAAGGAGCTACAAATGCTGTGGTAAGAGAACTTCCTGGTCTTATTTAACAGAAGATTCTCTTTGTTTTGACAAGATGATATAACAGGTGTTCAATTGAAGAATACAGATGGACTAAATGATAATGTAAGTTGACTGCTGTTGACTGCTTGGATCTTAGACAACACCTAAAACTGTCCAATCTAAAATGAGAATTAACTTGTTTATACATGTGGCTGTTTACTTCCTCTCCCTCACCATCAGAAAAGTGAACAGGGAAAGGGGTTAAAAATAAAAATATGCTGCATACTTGGCACTGCCTGTCCCAAGCAAATGAATAAGCAATTCCGAGTAATAAAAAAATGGAAATTGATAGACCTGAAAGGTAGTTTTTCAAATTCTCGCTCCATAGGAGGCAGCAACTGCAATAGTACCTTATTCTGCATTACTGGTTATGAAAACAGAGAAGGTACAAATGCTGTCAGTTGTCCTTTGACTGAGCCAGAGAACTGAACTGATCTGCATCATAACCAAACGGTTGAAAGATAGTAGCTTATATAACATATATGCATGTAAAGTCAAATACTGAAACTTAATGTTTGATTTACTTCTTGCAGGAAGCAATACTACAGGAGAACACTAGATTCTTCTCGTTATACTTTTTGGCAAAAATTTTTTTCGTATGTTAGGCAAATCAATTAGTTTGTTGTACTACTTACATGAATTCATAAAATAAGGACTGTGAAGAATAATTGCCAAATAAAAGGCACTTGATCTGAGTATGTGAAATCGGACCAGCTAAGTTGTCTGCTATGCTGTATTGCAGGTTTTCAAGAAAGGAATGTTGTAGGAGATTCTAGTACACAGAGTAGAGGCTTTAGAGGATTTCCTCTTGGCTTTGGACGAGGTGAAAGTAAGTTTTTCATATTGACTGGTTTGTGTGGGAACAACATATATTTGGTCATTCTTTCTGGGTTTGCTTGCTCCCTGAGAACAACTATAAGTGTAAAGGTGAAAGCTATGAACTAACTTAGGTTCTTAAGCCATGTGGTGGAACGTGGATGACATCTTTGAAAAATAGTATCACTGGCAATAATATAGCATAGGTTGGAGTTAGAAAGAATCTGTTGAGGCTGTTGCACTGTAGAGTTTTTGGAGTAAATAATAGTATCTTTAATATTTCATTATACTAATTTTAGACACTATATCCACTACACTGTGTATTAGTTACAGGTATTAAAGATGAGCAAAGAGATGGACCTCAGTCTGACGTTTTTCTTGGCTCTAGAGGAAGAGGAGCATTTGGAGGTCATGCAGGTGAGACTTTGTAGTAGGTGGTAAACCTTTCACATTTCTTCATTGTTGATTTGTGGCAATACAATACCTTCTTAGCTTTGCTGTCTCGCTGTGATTGTTCTCCCTGTCTGAATTAAGAACCTACTGCAAATGCTAGATAGCTTGCTTGCATGCCCACACAAGTCATGCTTGTAACTTGGACAAATTTTAGTAATTGGATTTTCAAAGCTCTTGTCTATAACTTTTTTTCTTGGTTCTACTGCTATTGAGTCAGTTACTACACAGTGAAGCAGAGGTGCTAACTCCAGAATTCCAAGCAAGCCTTGCTCAGTTTTGCAATAGTCACTCTAGACTTTTTCTACTCCCCCTTATAAGGGGAAGTATTGTTTTAGGTTTGTCCAGGCTGACAAGTAAGGTTTGTAGCCCTGAGGCCAGCTCTTCCTGATGGCTTTCCTCTAATGTTGGGTTTTTTGCTGTTTACAAAGGGTTTTTCCCTCATGGTCCCATCTTCCTTTGCCACTGATGCTCCTGTAACCTATGTGTTGTGATAGGTAGAGCATAGTAATCTATCACACAGAGTCCCCATAATTCAAATTAGAAATTCCATTAAACTAGCGTAGTGGGTAGTGGATGGCTGATAATTTTCTATTTAAGAACATTTTGTGTGATACTGGTAAGAGGGTTTTTCACTGTAGAAAAGATAGAATGATTAGTATGCATTTTCAGAAGTGTTCCTTGATAGCCAAAGTGAAATTCACTTGCCTCTGATTTCTTTCAGATGAAGTTTTTCAGACTTTAGTAAAAATAATGATTTTTTTTTTTTTTTTTAGAAACTTAGGTGTTTATAGAGGCAGCATACTAATACTCACAGTGGACATAATTACATTCTTAACGCAGGGTAGTCATTCATTATTTTTTCATGACCATTGCATAAAGTATTAGTATGTGAAGACTGATGGGTATTGTTAGGCAACGGTTGCACTAATTTATATTAACAGCTTTTGTTGTATTTTCTCTTCACTAAGTCTTGTCATCTACATTTCTAGGCTCATTTCTTTTCCACAGGGGCCTTATATTAAAGGGTTGTTTTACCCTTTGAAATCAGCAACACAACTTCCTGCACAGAGTAGTCAGGTGCTACCACTTAGGTTTAAGGCCTTTTCTATTTTGTGTGTAGTAAAAGTAAAGGCCTAAGACAGATTCTGGAAATGCTCCTCTTAATAGCTCAGTCTTAACTACAGTTTTTACATACATAAAATATGGTACTTTCTCAATTTTAAGAATAAATAACTTTATTTTTCAAATGATAACGAAAGCAACAGATACTGTATGTTAATGTCAAAGTCAGAACTCGGGTGGATGTTATAAATGTGTGGCTGTTGAAATAACAGGATAGTTTTCTGATTTAAATTCTTTATGAACTGTTGAAAAATTACTGCGACGACACTGAAGTTTATGGCTATGGCTCTTTTGTTATTTATAAGTTGGTTATATAACATAAAACAAGCATCTTCAGATGTTGTGGAAAAGTTGAATGGTTCTTAAAACCAGGATGGTGTAACAGTAAGCATGTGTGAATTTCTTGTCACTCACAAAATTTCGTTTATCAGTTTTAGGGGAAAAAAATTAACTTAAGAGATAACAAAACAAGGTTATAAAACTGGAATTTCTGTGGCATTTCAATTTCTTGCTATGCTTTTTTTTACTCATGATTCATCTCAGATAAATATAGACAGCTATACCTGCCCTCACAAAGCACATACTGGATTTAGGACAGATCATTCCTCTTGATTGTTTTTAAATACACACACCTTGCTTTATCCAAACATCTTATAAAGGCCATCTTTACATACCTTACTATTAGTTAAGAAAAGACCAGATCTGGTTTGTGAAGTCCCTCAGCAAGATGCCGAGTTTAATTCCTTCATGTTGTTACCGTGAGGTCTTGCGCTCAGTGTTCTGACACCTTCTCTTTCTGCCCTTCAGAACACAAATATGGTGCCTTTGTCTTCTGGCTTTTTGTAACTAAGCTTTTGTTTCTCTACCTAAATATTTCCACTTATGCTGCCAACCATATCGGGGCCCACTGAGTTTAAGTGTCTCTAGGAATTTTTCATTAAGGTTCTTAGATTTTTTTTTTTTTTTTCTCAAATGAGCTTTTTTCCTAAAAATCAATTAACTTTGGAATGCTTTCTTTAACAGCAGCTTACAAAGAATGCAATGAACAAATAGGTTCTGAAAGAGGTAAGTAGCTTCTTCACAAGTAACATAACATGCCAGTTTTAATTTGCTTTTAACTCAAGGAACATTCTCTTACATTAAGTTATTGGAAGTAATGGAGTAAAAAAGAAGGTAGTCATATGGGTAAATGCAAAGCCATCTCAAAACTGTTCATGTAACGAGTTGCCAAGCAAATGTAGGTTAACTCAATACGTTTAAACTTTACTGGGCAACCCAAGTGGATTGTTCTCGCCTAAATAAAGACTAAGTTTTTGGAGTGCTGTAGAATTAATCTGTTGCTGGCTATTTCTCTTAACAGTAAAGCTTATCTACCTGAGACAATAGTATTAGAACTTAATTGACAATAGTGTAGGCATCTAAGTTATGATAGTCATTAAAGTGAACTGTAAAGAACAGTAGATTCTTGGTTTCAGAATAGCATCTGGAAAACAGACTTGCTTTGTTTTACTGGGTGCAACTTAATAGTATTTAATGTTTTATATGTGCAGCATATCAGATTGAAATTTGTGATGAATGACGACTTTCTGACATGTATTGAAAGTGTCAGTTGTGACAATCTAATAGAATGTTTACTTACCTGCAGTGTTTTTTGCAAGTGACTTTAGCTTTATTTTGCCTTTTTCTTACTCCTGAAATGCAAAAAGACAAATAACAAACTCCTGACTTCTGTGTGAATAATTCTGGTTCCTAATCCTTCCTTATTTGAAGTCCTTGTGAAATGGCTTCTTCTGCCAATCTTTTAGTGAGCATCAAATAATTAATTTTATACCTTTTCATAAGTTTATATTGAAAAATACTTTAAGGAATATAGAAATATAAATGTACTGCCATAAACTGATTAATTTTATACTTGTGTATTAAATGGATTGTTATTGAATGGGATAATTTATAGTGTGATGAGTTTTTGTGGTAGAATTGTTTATGGTCATGAAGTAGAGCCTAATTTAATTTTTGTGAGTAGCTCTTCAAAGTAAGGTCTGTGAACAAATGTGAGGGAGGCAAGAATGCCTGACAAAAGCTTGAGTTACTTATAAGTGAGTTTTAGGCCTAGTATTATGAAACCAAGTTCTAGTAGAATTAATTTATGAAATTTCTTGTCTTCCTGGAAAGTAGAAACCTAAATGATGTACCATTGAACTTAAACTATTTTATGTATGGAGCTACCGAAGTTTTCTTGGTCATGAACTTGAGTGGTTGTGTTCTTAAGGTCCAAAGGTGACTTATGTGCCCCCTCCTCCACCTGATGATGAACAAGCCATCTTTGCACATTATCAGATGGGAATTAATTTTGACAAGTATGATGAAAATGTTGTTGAAGTGTCAGGACTTGACCCTCCAGCACCATTACTGGTGAGTGAACACATTAATTTCAGGGTTTATGTTGAGTGTGATTCTGCAAGGATATATACAGAGTCCAATTTTCACTACTAATGACAACAATAATAAAGATTTTAAAACTTGCAGACAGTGCTATGTTGGAAGGAGATGTGCCCGCTTCAAAGATAGAAATCTGAAGTTAAAACTATATAGAAAAACTACAGAAATAACCCAGAGAAAGTAATACTGGATGGACAGGAAGTGTAGTCCTTAAATTGCAGGAAAAAAATAACAGTTTAGATCTTGAAAGAAAGTGGTCTTTGGCAGCAGTTTCTGAGAATGCTGGTAGTGTCTTCTTACTGGGGGACCTATAACAATGTAAATGAGCATCTGTTGGAATAATTCTCAGTTGAGCAAAGGTGTTTTTGAAGTAATTTCTAGGCCTGTTTTCTGTGGCTAGTGTTTATTGTTTAAAAACCATTACATAACTCTTCTCTGCTTCGTAACAGGTGTCTAGTGTTTTCTTTTTGTAAAAAAATGCTACTTTTAGGGAGAAGAATGAGTGTGGGCAGAGGGCATAGTAGCACCTGTGTTGAAAGAGGATATGCAGAGGTTTTTTCACCTATCCAACTTAAACTGATTTTGTTGTGTATAGTGATTTTTTTTTTTCACCCAGGGTAGAAATGTTGCTTTAGCTCACTTACTAGTTCTAGCTCAAAAACTGTGTCTCCTGTGTGAAATGTAACATAAGAATTTCAGTCTTTTTTTATAGCATGCCATGATGTGAGTTCATCTGCTTGAATCCAGATGCATAGCTTTTGAGATGTTTCTGTCAAAGCGAATATGACCGATTATAAAAAAACTTTACTTGAATGGCATGGGCGTGTTGAAGAAATCTTTGGGGCTTTTAACTGTAGGAACTTTGGCACTGTAGGTGACTGGGTGAGACCACCTCAAAAGTGAAAATTTTTCAGTGTTTCGATGTCTATATCCTATGGTAAGTATCTCAGTTTTTAAAGTTTAACTTCTGTGGTTGTGTACTGTTAGTAATAATTTTTTCTTGTACAGGCTTTTGAAGAGGCTAACCTCTGTCAGACTTTAAACATGAACATTGCTAAAGCTGGATACTCTAAACTTACTCCGGTGCAGAAGTACAGCATTCCTATTATACTGGCAGGACGGGATTTAATGGCATGTGCCCAAACAGGATCAGGAAAAACTGTAAGCATTTTCTGTAGTATTCTTACTACTGGCAGTGTGTGACATGGAACTTTAAGGTGGACGCCTCAGTGTTCCATCTTCCAGATACTTCACAGCTTGTTGTCTAATGATTTGACTTGCACTGCAGTGACAAGTGTAGTATTAAGCACAGGTATGAACGACGGATGGATTGTCAAGTTTTTGGGCTGAATTTCTGTCTAACTTCAGTGAACTAGCGTATTGATACAACAGTCTTCAGGGCTGCAGATACAGATTCAGAAGTATAGGCAGTCATAGAAACTGCTGAGATAAAAGCTCAGCAGTTGAAACTTGGGGTTCCTTTGTGTTCTGTGAGTTTTTGTGGTGTTACGGTTTTTGTGTGTTGGTATGTGTGTTTTGACATCTGTGCTTTTGTGGTTTCTTTTTTTGTTGTTTTGTTTTGTTTTTTTTTTTTAAAAAAACTTATGCCAGAATCTAACAGTGTGGTGTGCTGGTTTGTCATCTTTTATTTGATCAAGTCTGAGCTGCACTAGCCTTAGTTTTAGGAGTTACAGTATTAATCATAGAACAGTGAGAGTTGATACTGAATTTACAGTCGTCTCAACTTGTTCAACTGTCCAATGTACCTGAATCTAACTACTGACAGCTCTGTATGAGAATACATAAATATTAAGTATAGCTTTTTGCCATTCAGTGTAGTGTGGAATTCTAGTTTTGTGAAGTAGCTTATTAGTTAGTTGCTTTGAAAAACCTCTTCTGTTCACAGAGAAGGCAATGTCCAAAACTTATGGTACAAATACTCTGAATGTTCTTGGGACTGCTGTACAGATTCTGTTTTGGGGTAACTAGTCTTGCATTGAAGTAAGGGTGCTGGTGCAGCTGTGTTGCAAACTGATCTTACAGTAGTCTGGAGAATGGTGATACATGGTTACGTTAAATCTACTGATGACACTATAAAGCTTGTAAGTAAATCATACAAGAAAGATGGAGAGGGACTTTTATCAGGGAACGTAGTGGTAGGACGAGGGGTAATGGTTTTAAACTGAAAGGGGGAAGATTTAGGTTAGATCTAAGGAAGAGATTGTTTCCTGTTCGGGCGGTGAGGCCCTGGCACAGGGTGCCCAGAGCCGCTGTGGCTGCCCCCTCCCTGGAAGGGGTCAAGGCCAGGCTGGACGGGGCTGGGAGCACCCTGGGCTGGGGGAAGGTGTCCCTGCCCATGGCAGGGGGTCTGGAACTAGATGGGCTTTAAGGTCCTTTCCAACTCAAACAGTTCTATGAGTCTCTGGAATGCTAAGGAGGGCTTTTGATCCTGGGGTACATGATTACCAGTGTATGTCAGCATGATGTGTGTGTGGAACTGCCTGAAGAACCCAGAAGTTAGCGCATGACTGTTCCTGCATTCTTAGTTTCTTATGGTTGAGAGAGATTTTCATCCTTCTGAAACAAGGAGAAATAAGCTTAGGTGTTCTGTAGTGCATTCAGGTCAATCCTTTTGCAGTCTGATTTCCTTGAAATTGATAGTGTGCTGTATCATTCTAGCTTTAAGATTGATATGCACTTTTTCATGTGACTGATGAAAGTTTTAAGACTAAACAGCATAAATACTGATGCTTTTTTTAGGTAGCTTTTCTTCTACCAATTGTGGCCCACATGATGAGAGATGGCATAACTGCCAGTAGCTTTAAAGAGAAGCAAGAGCCGGAATGTATTATTGTTGCCCCAACTAGAGAACTGATAAATCAGATCTTCCTAGAAGCAAGGAAATTTGTTTATGGGTAAGTTTTTGCGCTGTTGCTTGGTATTGATTATTACTTTGAATCAGCAGCGCTCTACTTTTTTTCATTAACACTCAACATATTTTCTGTGCTAACTGAATGATTACAAACACTGGAATTTAGATGGTTATACTGGCTAACAGGTCTCTTACTATATGTCTAGGGATTTAAACTCCTAATCTTCCTGATATTCCAGGTGGGCAGAGAAACACTTAATCAGCTTGAAGAGAAGTACTAAACTTGTGTCACATCTTCACTGATGAGATAAATGAAATTTCTTTAATGAAGTAACTTAAATTTAGCTTGCCTTATGTAATTTATACTTGCTTTTATTTTTGCCTTGACAAAAATCAAGGTATGTGTTAGGGTTTTTTAGATAACTTTCAGTGATGGTTTCTAGTAACTGTACTACTCAGTGTTTCTGGTCTTGGACAGAAATTTCACAGCTCAAGCAAGCTCTATTGGCTCTGCTTCTTCAAAACAGAACAAAAGGTGTAAACTTGTCACTGAGGCCTTTGTTGTGCGAGAATACCTTTGTCCTAGTTAGCAAGTGATCTGTCTGCTGCTAAGTGATAGGTTTCACCAGTGCACAGTAGAATTAAATCTATGTCTGTAACAGCTTGTTACTGTTAGGAGGTGGAGTGAAGAACATCATCAGTGCAAAATCTGGTGGGCTAAATCAGACTTGTCTCTGCCTGTTCAAGCAAAATTATACTTGGAGGCTGCTTCTGCCTTTGGGAAGTAGCATCATGTTTGCATATCTACTTACTAAACATATTACTGAGGATGACCTCTGAATCTCTAAAACTGTTCCAACGATGTAGCTAGTTCTTTTAGTTATGCTACCCTAAACTAGATATAGATTATGTCACAATAAAACAGCTTTTGAATTTAGAAAGTTTCTGCTACAGCTGCCCTGCGGTAAAAGGAAGATAACGTACATTTGTGGGGCAGTTAAACAATATCAGGGGGTGAATCTGTTGCCTCTAAAGAATTGAACGCATATTTCAGTGTGGTTTAGTTGCTTTACAGAGATCCACCTGTGCCTTTTTTTTTTTTTGCACTGACCTTTCAAGGTGTGGAAAGATTACTTCTGAAGCTCTAAAAGCATGTATTTGGTGGTTCTGCTTTTTCTAAGCATGCTGTATAAAAGGGGACAGTATCTAACACCATTTTGGCTCTTACTGCCAGTAACTCAGCTGAATGGAGAGGGAAGAAAGCAGGTGAAATGCAGTGTTCTTTCAGAGTAAGCCACCTGTGCAGCCTCTACTATGTATGAATGAGAACTTTGAGCTTATGGTGAGTGAGTTCTTGGTCTTGGCTCCAGCTTTTGGTTATAAGCTGTGCTGTGTGGTGAAGGAATTGAACCACTCTAAGCTGGTTTATGGTAGGTATGATGACATTTTACATATTCTCATGAAACAATAATGTTTGCGTACTTACATAATTAATCATTTTTTTTTCTATATTTTAGAACTTGTATAAGGCCTGCTGTCATCTATGGAGGTACACAAACAGGCCATTCAATTCGTCAGGTAATACAAGGTTGTAATATACTATGTGCCACTCCAGGAAGGCTTCTAGACATCATTGGAAGAGAGAAGGTAATATGTTAAAACTTAATCTGAATTCCTTAAACACCCTTAGTTTTTTACATACTCATTTTCACTCTTCAAATTCAATGGAAGCAAAGACAGAGCCATGAAAACCAGTCAGTATGCTGCCTTTGTACAGATACTTAAAATACAAGTGAGCTTTTCTTGGAACATCTAAATACCATGACGTTTTTAAGAGTAGTGGAAGTCCAGATCTCTTCAGTCCCTTTCAGGGCCAGCTGGAAAATACCAGTCTAAATCAAACTGGCTGCAGTGTTCTTGTCAATTAAATTTTATAATATAAATACATGGAACACCTTCTCTCAGTTCTCATGGAAAACTCCATAGCATATTTTCACTTGATACTCTGTCTTGCTACAATAATATTAAAACACTCAAAGAATTAATATTAGCATAGTTCCAGACAGATAAAAGCTAATTTTATTCAAAAATATAAAAAACTCCAGGTGTAATACTGAATTTGAATTTTTATTTTTCCAGACACTATAAGTTCAAATCAAAATTGCTACATAGTAAAATGGTGGCTCAGTGATCTTGCACTGGACAAATGAAATTTGGGAAACTTCTTAGTAATAAACTGGAGATTGGCTTTCTGTGATTGTTAGGCTTCTAGTCAAAACGACAGTCTCCATCAGGAGCAGTGAAGTTGTAATGTCCTTAATTCTTTCTGAACGAGTTTTTTGAGAATATATGAGGGTTATATGAGAATCTTACTAAAACTCAGACATAATTTCAAAATAGATGTGCTGAATAATAGTCGATCTATAGGCTCTGTCTTGTTTTACATTGCTGAACCAACTTCTGAAGCACTTCAGTGTGTGCATACTACTAGAATTAGTGCAGATTCAAAAATTAACTAGAGGTTGACATGCAAATGGAATAATGCACATAGGCTTTTATTTGTGAATAATTAACTTCCACTAGAAAGAAATAAGAGGTAGATTTTGGCAATTAGGACATTCTGTAAGTGTATACTGTCAGTGAACCAATACAGTTTTTCTTCACGGAAATACTTGCAGATTGGTTTGCATCATGTGAAATATTTGGTGCTAGATGAAGCAGACCGCATGCTTGATATGGGTTTTGGGTTAGACATGAAGAAGCTGATTTCTTACCCAAGTATGCCACCAAAAGACGAACGCCAAACACTAATGTTTAGTGCCACTTTTCCTGAAGCAGTTCAGAGGTGAGTAAAATAAAACTGGAATTATATCTGAAGATGTACTTGTAGAGTTAAATGCCAGAGTTAAGAGCATGCCTTGTTTAAAAGCTTATAATCTTGATAGAAGATACTGAAAAGCTATGGTTAACATTCCTTGTTGAAGACTTCCCTTTTTTAGGTAGCAGTACTAGTAGTTTGCATAATTAGCTGCTTAATTTAAGTGGCGACTTTAAAGCAATTTATGAAGTTTGTCTGAAGGCTTTTAAATTCCACTTCTTCAGAAGGCCTTATACTGCCCCAGTTTCTTTCTTGTCCCTCTCACACCACATCTGTGCAAGTTCAAAACCAGTGATCTTGCTGTTTCGTAAGCAGCACTGGTACTGCTGTTTTTGGCACCAGGATATAATATAAGTAGACATCCCAATTATTGCTCAATTCACCAGCCTTTCTGATACATAATTCTTATTTACATGCATAAGTGCTTTTTGTTTTCTATAGTTTTAAAGCTTCCACAAATGGATTTAGTATATATCTTACAGCTCTACTACTTACTACCTTTAAAGTTCCACTTTCCAGACTCTGAGAGAACAGTCTTCAACAGGTGGTAGTCGGTTTGTTGAGCCTGGGAGTAATAGAACAATGCACACCATTCCCTGTAGGTGGATGGAAATTATTCAGTAGTTCTAGTTTTGGAGAGACAGGCATCTGAATACTCATTCTGAAATCAGAGGAGTCTAAACTTCAATTTGAGCAGCTGGCAGTTTTGGTGGCTTTCATGGTAGGCATACTGCTGTAATATCACTGAAAAGTAACAGCATATTGCAGTTTGAGAGCATGTAAACTGGTAAGACCATTGCAGTGAATTAAGTTGGTACTTCAGTGAATCATATCTTGAGAACTTCTGGCCTTTTAAAAGCCTGAAAGATCTTTTTCGAGGTGGGGAGAAAACATCTTCAGTAGTTGAGTCCTGAATGAATGAGGGGAATGGTGTGCTTTTTGCCATTGGGTCAGTTAATACTGACAGCTGTTGGGGAGATGAACTGCCTTTCTTTAAGTTGCCTGTTGTGTCTTTGCTTCCTCAGCCAAGACTTCTTTTGTAGAGGTTTTTGTATTGGAAGAAGAATGAAGTAATAACAGCCTTGTTCTTGCAGCTGGGAGTCAAGTATTCAAATGATACTATATATATGTGTGGTTCATGTTCATTCCATGTATTTACTGTTTGTGCAGGAATGTTGTCTCACTTTGCATTGCATCTGGGAAAAAGATCAGATGTGTCTCACTTTAAGATGCACAGTGTGCTCTGACTGGCTCAGGTTTTGTGGTTGAGAGGAACCTTGATTCCTTGATATCTTGATTTGTTGTCTTTATAAGTGTGTTTTTGCTAATGCTCTTGCTACATGTTTTTGCTATATACTGAGGGATGAGTACTCTAATTACCAGCATCTGAAAGGAGGAGATTCTTTCAACTGTTCAAGACTTTGCTTCTGTTTAATGGAAAAAAACATGTCTACCTCTCTATTCTGAGTCTTGCAGGATTTACAAGTGTTGGTAGAAGTCTTCAGAAACCTGAATACTTGGATCATGGTTTGGAAGTGCATAATGGTATTCTTGTGCCCCTTTGATATGGGAATGCTTAAAGGTGATGTCATTTTAGTGAATGAAAACCCTTCTTGTTTGGAGTCACCTTCTTCCTGGATTTTACTGCCTTTCTGATTCTGGCATCAAGAAAGCTCATGTTTTCCTATACTCCACTATAAAGCCAACTTTGGACAGTGTACTACTTTGGTAGTAAAGAACAAGGCCCTTTCTTTAGCCCTGCTGGGTTCAGGTGCTTCTATTCAATGAGTGTAATCAGGTTTGGTGTTAACATACTGTTTGGTTTTGTACCTGAATTTGAGTTTCTGCTGTTACATAAACATTTGGTCTGATCATCAAGGCTCTTCCTGTGCACGAGTTGAGAACACCATGCATTTCCTAGCTGACTGGTAAACTTCAGCTTAGCATTTGAGGCTTTATATTTCCAACTAAAAGGTCGTTTCTTCTCTTCCTTGCTGGTTTTTGTTCACTGTGCGGTTTTCAGAGAGTTTAAACTTGTCCTTTTCTTTCAATTTAGAACTATGTCTCTGTGATCTTAAACCAGTCAGCTCTTAAGACCAAACACATGTAAATCTATAGTAACTTTTATTTGCTATCAAAACCACCTTTTCAGTGGTAATTACACCTGTAAATCATATGGGAGATTCAAGTCCTTAAGGGAGTCCTTTAATATTTTTTAAGACTTTTTTAGAATTTGTTCTAAAACTTGAGATTGCCTGTTTTCAGTTAAAGGCTGACTTGCTTACCATCTGAATTTTACTGCAGTGGAAGCTTTGTGTAGACTTGTTGGAGAATGGCTCAGAGACAAGGGTCCTGAGCCCACCGAGCAGTTGTATGATCAGAGCCTGTTCTAGGGGCTGATGCTGGGCCTCACTAGGGTTTGCCTGCAGCTGCTCCCAGCTGCTGATACAGGAGGAATGTCAGGGACGCTTCGGCCTTGTGTACCGTGGTGTGTCGAAAACAGGTTAAGGGGAATTAGGAATAGTGGTCTGAGAAACCTAGTGTTATGAGAAGCTTGTGCTGTTAGCTAACTGCAAGTAGGTGGACCGTGCGAATACGACCTTTAGAGCTTAAGCCAATCAGCTAGTGACTAGTAGGCATAATAATTATCGTTGTCTGTATAAATATATGTACCCTGGACCAATAAAGGGACACGATAGTTGATGCTCTATCACCCACATTGAACACGTCTCGGCGTGTCGTTCCTCCGTCAGCCGCAAGATGGCGCCCGAGCAGGGACCTGCATAGAAGAAGAACACGGGCGGAGCGGCGGAGGCGGGGAAGCACCAGATACAGCAGCGTCCGGGGGATCAGAAACGGATCCGGAGAAGCACCACATACAGCGCTTTTTAGAAAAGCGGGGAGTAGATTGTATAAAATCACTCACGGGATTAGTAGCATTAGGACGGGTCAAAGGATGTTTTCAAAATCCTAATTCTCTTTTTGATGTCGAGGAGTGGAGACGATTAGGTGATATTTTATGGGATATGGTAATTGACGAGGATAAAGCTGCAAGGAAAATGATGAAACGGTGGCAGGACATGATGAATAATAGTAGGCGGTATCAGCTTGAAAAGAACCTTGCAGCTGTGGCAACTACAAAGTTGGGGGGGTAAAGTTCCACTGTTACCCCAGAAGGTGATGCATCCGGACCTGTGCTCTTTGACAGTGATCGTATGCCTGTACCATTAACAGGAGTGCCTGTTTCAGTTAACATAAGTAGGGGAAGTCCGGAGGCCAGCCCCCCTCCAGTGCCCTTACAGTCATGCCCCTCCCACCCCCCCTACCTCGGAGCGGGAGAGGGACGATGGCCCCTCGCTAATATGTAGCCAACAGGAGTGGCACGCAGTAGGTGATTCATTGTGGGACGAGACTATCACTGGAGGCAATAAAGGCAGTGAAGCACGACAGCAAGGGCTGGTCTGGCGAACGATTGTAAAAGCTCTGGGGGAGATGCAAGCAGAAAAGAAAGTATCCGCTGCTGCTATTGAGACTATTGGCGCTATACCATCCCCACCGGTCCCTTCCGAAACCAACCGTCCGTCCCGATTAGCCACCTTCTTCGGGTGTAATCAACAGCTCCGCTCTATTAAGGACATGTCACCAAGTGTTCCTGTTTGCTCCACCGCGCAAGAAGCCGCAGAGGAATCAGGCGGCGCGGGAGAACAAGGGGGGCGCGGTGTGCCGCCCCCCCCTCCGCCCCCCCCCCCCCTCCGGATGGTTCCGCCCCTGACGGCGCGTCAGCGTCTGGCGGCGGCTCTGTCCGAATTAAAGCAGCAGGGTCACACATCGGTAAGGGACAGGGACAAAGTCCGAGAACTTGAAAGAAATTTACAGAAGTTAAGCTACAGAACAGAACTCTGCATTTACAATTACAAGACAAGGAAGCGCTGCCGGCAGCCCCGACACACCCATTCCCATCACCCTTATCAGAACCAGCTCTGCTTTTAGCTCAGTCCTGATAGAGTGGGATGATTTGTGGTGCCTTGTTAAAAGGGGAATGGCATGCTGCTGGAGCCTTGGACTGCCCAGTAGTGACAACGAATGGGGGACAGCCGGGAACACAAGATCACAAGATTCTCCTCGGGGGGTCTGGAGACTCCTTACGAACTTTAGAACTCTGAACTGTCATCTGGGTGTTTCAACATCAACACTGGTATCAAGAACTTGTTCATGTAGTATCAGATTCATTGTATGTTGTGGGTACAGTTCAATGTTTAGAACATAGCATGGTGAAACCTGTGTTAAATTCTGTATTGCATACTCTGTTGTTACAATTGCTGACGCTTTTAAAACTGTAAGGGTGGTTTTCTCGCTACATAAGACTGTATAGGACTGGAACATGGACTGACAGAATGGTTACGAGACTTGGGAATTTGGAAAATGGACTGATACTGGTTACAAATCTACAAAACTTGGAAATTAGTGGGTCTTTAAAAGCTTTGTTGATGCATGGACTGGTAATGCTGATTGTCATTATGATTGTCATGATGGTATTGGGGTCTGTGTGGAAATGCTTTATGAATGCTATGAATCGAGCATTAAAAGGAGTCTGGATTGTCCAAAAAGGAAAAGGGGGAAAACCTGGTAGGAATTTTTTTGGGGGATCAGGGTCATGCACTGATCCTACAGGGTTTGGACAATCCAGGCTGGGTCTCTGAGAAGAAAACTGCCCCGTGGTAATCCTGCCGTTGAGGTCACCTGGAAGGGCAAGAATGAGGAAGTCAAGCTGGTGCTTCCTTCCTGTTTGAATGCCTGGATGCACTAACTGCAAAGTAGATTTAGTTTGTTCACGCATGCTAATGATGCAGACCTATCACAGCACTCCCGGGTGTGTGATAAGTGCCTTTAGCCAATAGATTGTAAGCCTGCATGCTTAAGTTGTGCCTTGTCATGTATTAAGAAAATCTTTGAACAAACGTTAGGGCAGGCTCTGCTCGTACAAAATGAAAAAGGGGGAATTGTTGGAGAATGGCTCAGAGACAAGGGTCCTGAGCCCACCGAGCAGTTGTACGATCAGAGCCTGTTCTAGGGGCTGATGCTGGGCCCCACTAGGGTTTGCCTGCAGCTGCTCCCAGCTGCTGATACAGGAGGAATGTCAGGGACGCTTCGGCCTTGTGTACCGTGGTGTGTCGAAAACAGGTTAAGGGGAATTAGAAATAGTGGCGTGAGAAACCTAGTGTTATGAGAAGCTTGTGCTGTTAGCTAACTGCAAGTAGGTGGACCGTGCGAATACGACCTTTAGAGCTTAAGCCAATCAGCTAGTGACTAGTAGGCATAATAATTATCGTTGTCTGTATAAATATATGTACCCTGGACCAATAAAGGGACACGATAGTTGATGCTCTATCACCCACATTGAACACGTCTCGGCGTGTCGTTCCTCCGTCAGCCGCATAGACTGCATATGAAGCGCACTTGTCTATCGATAGGTTATTACAGCTAGTAAAACTGTGAAGTTATTACAGGGCATTCCAAGGAATTACCTGTTTTGGTGAGTTTGATCTCTTAGATAAGGTCAGCTGTGTAAGGGATAACTGAAGAGGAACGCCGTCTGAACAAAGCTTGACTTCTGCTTATGGCAGCTGGTAAATAAATGCTGTGTAATAAATTGTGTTTTTAAGCAGTGCTTTTGTTGCACAGTTGGAAAGGTTCATGTAGTCTTTTGGAGGCCTGTTTTGAACACTGGCCTGTGTAGAATTCTCCCATGTCCATCCACCTAGTGATGATACCGTGCCCTGAGAATGGTTCTGTGAGCATGTATGCCAGTAATGAATGCATTTTATTATAAACATTTATGTGGAACTGAGATGGCTAGAAAATGCAGTGTTTGTATTATGGAAAGCTGCAAGGACATAATCAGTCTGTGCACCTTTGTATTGAACAGGGGTTTTTTTGCACAGATGTCTGGAAAACAATACGGACTCTTTCAGCTTTTTAAAAAATGCACGTGACTGCTTATATCATTTGCCGTGTTGAGGAATGATACAAGTATTTGTTGGTGAGGGTTGCTTAAATGTAAATGAAGTTACTTGATCTTAAGTGAAACTAATCTGTGTAACAGACTTTGTTGTTCATTTCTGTTTCTTTTAAAGGCTGGCTTGTGAATTTTTGAAAACTGATTATTTATTTGTTGTGGTTGGACATGTGGGTGGAGCTTGCAGTGATGTTCAGCAAAATATTCTTCAGGTTCCTCAGTATTCCAAGAGGGATAAACTCATAGAAATCCTACAAAGTATAGGTAACTTTCCTTATTGCTTATTGTTTTCCTGCAAAGACAGAATTTGTTTTTAAACTTGTGCTCTTGCTATTGACCGGTTGTGATTCCATTCTATTGTGTGTTACATGCTTTACAAGACTACTCATTGAAGCTTGAAGCAGAACTTAGAGTTCTAGGCTTTTAAGCATATTTGTGTTACAGCTATTTGTCAAGGTTTCATCTTTATTGAGTACTAGCAGACAGGTTTCCCGGGTGGTTAGGTTCTTTATATGGTTAATTACAACACATCTGGGGGGGTATAATCCCAATATTATAGGTATATAAAACTTATGTGAACGTTTGGGCCTATATTTTATTAATGGCTGGGATTTTTCCATTTTTGCTCTTGAATGTATTGTAAGTTCTAATGCTGAAAACTTAAGAGGATGGAATTAAAAAATGGTCTGTGTACCTTGCTGTTCAGTGCTCAGAATGGCATGCCAGTTTTAGCCATGTGCTATAGAAAGGGGTTGCATGCTTATTACAGAGAACAACGTTTTTTCCTCTTATTGAGGAGAAAAATGCAACGCACTTGTCTTCACTTAGGTTTCTGTGTTGATCTAAAAATTGATGGGTTGAATTTAATTAGTTCAACACAGGCAAGAAATTGCATGCATATCTTGAAAACTATTCAAAACTCGTTCTGATATTAGGTGTTTATATAAGTAACTGCAACTGTGAATAATGAAAATACATCAGTTTCAAACTGCAATGGATTTGAACTCTTGTTTAACATAGGTCATGAAAGAACCATGGTGTTTGTGGACAAAAAGAAAAAAGCAGACTACATTGCAGCCTTTCTTTGTCAAGAAAAAATATCAGCCACTAGCATCCACGGGCAAGTATTTTTAAAGTGAAAGTCAGGTAATAGTATTAAGTGCAAGTCACTTAATATTGTATCTTAAGAGAAGCTTTTGTTGAGATGTCATGTTTAGCCATATCTGTGTGACTTAGCTTCCCTTGTTTCAGAGAGCCCTATAATCTTCAACAGCGCTGCCAAACTGAGAATGTAGTGTTTCTGAAGTCCAGTTCTCTCAGCATGTACTGAGCATGCATCTCTTTGGTTGACCACACTGAGTGCTATATATGAACTAGAGAATCTTATGTCTACTGCTTAAAAAAGAGTATATAATAAATTCAGTAGAACCAGCTGTTGTTTATAGGTAGCTTTTGTCATCATTTGTGTGACCAAAACCAGACCATTTAGTGTTACTGATGAGATGATATTCATAAATTCAAGTGGCAGTCGTGGATCTTCCACTTTATCTTAGGTTTCCTCAGTAATGAGAAGTCGAGTCATGTACCATACAGATTTCTGATGCTGTAATTTCTGCCTCCTTATTGTGTGAATGGACATAGAATTTGTATGGAGATCCATCTAAAGAGAAGATGCTTCTAACTTGTGTTTGTAGTCTTACTAGTGTTGCATGCCTGAACAAATGGTGAGAAACAAGGTGAAATAGTTGCTAATTCCAGGTCTAAACCCACTGAAAAGGAGGATCTGTCTTTCACTTAATAAGCTGGAATGTAGTTCAGTGGTTTGGTTATATGTCAAAACATAGGGCAACAAACTGAATTTTAAGATTCCCAGTAAACTGTAGCACATCCCAAATGTGATTTTTGCAGTCTTTTTCATTATGTAATTGGAGGAAGGGACCTGAATTTTTGCCAGTAGAAGGATATTTTGGGCAAGTGTTCTGACAGACATCAGAATAGTAAGGTCATAGATAGGTCAAAATGATCCTAGTACATAGAAGATGCTTGTGTGTACCCTGTGTCCTGTCAATTTCAGATGTATGTGAAGGGTCATTTTGAGAAGATATGGCCCTGTTGTGGCTAACCTGAATTGCTGTCCCACAACCTGTCTTGGGTGGGAGGTGGTTCTTAACACATTTCTGTAGAATTATAACACTGAGATAATGTATACTTACAAAGGGAATAACTGGTTCCATGGAAGCTGCTAAACTGTCATGATTGTTACTGATTTCTGATTCACTTAGTTTTTTTTTTGTTTGGTTTTTTTTTTTTTTTTGAGTTGAAGCTAGTTAGGATAGCTCTTCTCTGGAATAGTTGTTATACCAGACTTCACAATGTCCCATGTTAGATTCAAAAGAGCACTGTTTTTTAGTTTGTTCTCTCTAGAGCTCTCTAGTTTCTTCTCTCATTTGGACAAGAAAACATGTGTTAAACTCTGATCTAAGGTAAGTACTGGATAATCTGTAAACAGTCTTTAAAAATACAAACCCCAGAGCAAATCTAGTTTTCTTCTGATGATGATGAGCAAAAGGCAAGTTCTGTACTGTTGGCTGGCCACACTTTCTAGTATATCTGAAGAATGACCTATGCAGGAGTCTACTTGGACTTCATCTTTGCTATTCTGGCTCCCTGCTATAAAGCAGGAGGAAAGCACTTATGGCATAAAGAAACAGTTAAACAAGTGGATCTTCTTCAGGCGGTGCTGAGGTAGATACACATCTATCTCTATTTCTTTTAATGAAACTAATTTCTCTAGGGACTTAGGTTAAAATAGTTACTTGTGTCTTACTGCTAATCAGTGAAAAACTCAGAAAACCTGTTGGTAGTGTGTGGGTTGATAACTTTTCTTTTTTGACATCCTGTCCCCCTGCTCCAAGAACTACTACTTCTGTCCTTGAATCATGACCTTTTAACTTGTATCTTAAATAATGCTACAGAGTTTTCAAGGTATGCATTGTAACCATTTATTTCTTTATAGAGATAGAGAACAGAGAGAAAGAGAGGTAGCTCTTCACAATTTTCGTTCTGGAAAATGTCCAGTTCTCGTGGCAACGTCAGTGGCAGCAAGAGGTCTGGATATTGAAAATGTTCAACATGTTATTAATTTTGATCTTCCTTCCAACATTGAAGAGTATGTACACCGAATTGGACGAACTGGTCGTTGTGGAAATACAGGCAAAGCAGTTTGCTTCTTTGATACCAGTTCAGATGGCCATCTTGCACAATCTTTAGTTAAAGTGCTTTCAGATGTAAGTTTTAAATCTTAGTGCTTAACTTCTTCTGTTCTTTAGGATTTCACTTCAATGCACTGAGCAACTATTATTCTTTGGTACAGTTATGAAACTCTTAATATCAATTGGTAAAGCAGTCAAAATGTCTAAATTCACTTTTCTAATTATGTAGGCTCAGCAGGAAGTTCCTGTTTGGTTGGAAGAAATTGCTTTTGGTTTTCAAGGAGGAAAAGTTAATGCATCAGTTAGTGCCCAAACGGTAAGCCTGGAAATGAACTGGAGGTCTTGGCTTTTGGAACTTTGCCTCAGTATAAAAGTGTGTTTAGAAGTATATATCCAGAGTAATGCCACTGAAGTGTTTTTGGCTGTAACTGTGACCCTTATCTTAGTTGTACATCTTCAAAATGCTCAGTATTTCTGAAACAAATTTTGGACAACTTGATTGACTTGGACTGTTATAGGGTGGCCTTACTAACTGCATTGGTCTTGATCTATAGTGTCAAGAATTACTTTGTGGAAGAAAAGGTGAGTGCAAACATATGCAAAGGCTGTAGTTCCAGAAGTTTCTCTACTGTAGGGTAGGAGCAAATAGTTGCTACTTACACGGTCACTGCTTGTTATGAATTGCTCAATCAGGTAATTCATTTGACTAAAAACTTCAGCTAATTATGGTTAGAAAAATGCCTCAATCTGATCCATGTTAAAACTGTTCTTAATGTCTGTGATTAAGAGACCAGAAGGCTCCTCCTTGTGTTTCTGGAACCAAGTGTTAAAATACAGTTCGAGTAAATGATAGCCTAGGTGGCATACCTCTCAAATCACTCTACAGACAGTAGTTTAGGATTTAAACTATATGCCTACTCCTACTTTGCTTTTTTTTTTTTTCAACTGATGTTTGATACTTCTTGCTTTTATCTACTTGGATTTTAATGCCTTCATCAAAAGCTTTTCCTTGATCTCTTGCTTCCATAAGAACTTTATCACATCTCAGTTGCATTCCAAATGTCAATACTCTATCTTGGAGATCACAGGAAAAATAATTACTCTCACTGCTTACACAATGTCTGAAGCTCAAGTTCAAGCTCAGACCTTTCTTTCAGTAACTATCTTTTTTCATGCCATACCATGGTTTGAGCCCAGAGGGTAACTGAGCACCACACAGCTGTTCACTCACCCCTTCCCCTCTCAGGAATGGGAAAGATGAAATGAAGCAGAAATAGCTCAGGAATCCAAATATCGTTCACCCATAACTTCATGGGCAACAGACACGACTTGTTAGGGGGAGAAAAGAATAGGTCCCTTTAATACAAATGCTAACAAAAGACAACATTTAACAGACAAGGTGGGACAATGAGAAGTTACAGCACATTAATAAACACCTCCCCTTGCCCCTCCCTTCTTCCCGGGCTCAGCTCTGCTCCCCATCTCTCTCCTTCCTCCCCCAGCAGCGCAAGGGGCAGGGGATGGGGTTACAGTCAGCTCATTGCTCCTTCCTTCTCAGGAGATGGGGTGAACACTGCATATTGCTCCCCTCTCGCTGCAGACACGCCTCCATGAACCTTCTCTGGTGTGAGTCTTTCCCACAGGATGCAGCCGATCCCAAGCTGCTCTCACACCCGCGTGTTGCAGTCTTCCCAGCGCCAAACTACAGTGGGGTGGGCCACTTCTCCCCTCAGAATCCTGAGCACAGATGTGCTTCCTTTAAGACACATGCATGCAGAAAGCTAAAATTGTTCTGTAGTGACTTTTACCATTAAGTGATTGGAAGTGTTAACTATTCTAAACTAGTACCTGTTCTGTTTCCTAGAATTACAGAGGCAGAGGAAGCATCAACCCAGGAGGAATGAAGATGTATTCTGCAGATGCATTGGAGTCATGGGATTAAAACTACTTCACTACCGAACTAGGTTGTATTCTGTTGTGTTTTCAGTGAACTGTTGTACTTAATGTGCCTTACTGTTGAGTTTATGGAACATGTAACGTTTAAGGGAGTAGCTCGTATTGTGTACTAAAGCTTTCAGCATTGTATATGTACTCTGTTAAGATCTTGAGTGGTAATCATCACAATGGAGGAAATGAAAAACAGTTTTTTAGGAAACGCTTCAGGTATTAGGTGTTAAAATTTTCAGTTAGTGTTTAATGCCTGGTAGCTGGTATGCTGTTATAAAAATGTTTTGGTTTTGTATCTTTTTTTCCCCCTGAATTTACTGCTTAGTTATCAAAATTTTGCATGGAAGATAGTCCTGTGAAGACCTAGTTTGGGAAAGAGCTTTTTCCACAGGGCTCGTCTAAACTTTATGTTCATTCTGGTTTGTAACAGGTCAGTTATAAAATCTGAATCTAGGCTTGACATGACTTAATCTTAAGGATCTGTTAACTACCTTGTAAACAGTTACTTAATAAAAGCTTGAGGAGTGCATATTAATGGTTGCTTCTACATCAGATATATAAAAAGCATGTCGTTGCAGTTTCATGAACTGGTGTTATTTTGACAGGCACTCCTTCACCCCTAGGGAGATAAAGAAGAAAAAAGAAAAGGATTTGGAATCAAGATAAGGACAGGAAGGGACAACTAATTAACCCATCACAGCTCATGGGCAAAAGACAGACATGTTAGGGGAAGAATAAAGAACATCAAATTAGTTTAATTTAAACACCACGTAAACAATCAGTGTAGGACAGTGAGAAATAAAACCACATCTTAAAAACACCTTCCCCCTAATGCTCCCTTCTTCCCATGCTCAGCTTTGCTCCTGATTTCTCTACCTCCTTCCCCCCCTCAGGGTATGGGGGTTGTGGTCAGTTCATCACCCACTGTCTCTGCTGCTGCTTCTTTCTCACAGGGGAGGGCTACTTGCACTCCTCCTCTGCTCCAGTGTGGGTCCCCCCTGCACATTTCAATCTTCCCATCACATTTTGCTGCTGGGAACTGTAAGTGCTCAAATTGTTCAACATGGTCTTTTAGAAGCACTGCGTGAAAAACAAAACATGGTGGAAAAGTTTCACAAAGCACTTCATAACAATGTCAGCATACTTCAGAAGAAAGTCTGTTCATAGCTGCTACAGTGGCTGGTCCTAAGCTCCCCTGTGGGAGACTGGCAGTCTACACTTCCTCTGGTTGTTCTAGGTAGAACCCTCAGTGAACTAAAATGTCATCACCAGCAGATGGAGTTCACATCACTCACAGTCAGCTGTTAATAACAGGTGGTAAATTCAGTATGTTTTGGGGGCTGCCAAGCAACATGGCAATACCTTGTTGCTGCTCTGGCTGAAAGGCCAGAGTTCTCGCTGAAGTTCTTGGTGGGCTGATTCTTGATTGTACCAATTTAGCCTTAGCTTGCTTTCTGGGATCTGGCCCTTCTGTATGAGGGGGTCGTAGCTGAACCTCCTCTGAGGTTTTTCTGCAGAGACAAGGTGGTTTCAGGAGTTGTCAGCAAAGCTTTGTGTCTGAACTGCCCTGCTTTTTATCGGTATGCGTCATCCAATTGACGTGAGAGGCAATGGGAAGTAGAATATATATGAACATGGTGTGTTGGCCCAGGCTAGCAGCCAAACTCTTGCCCAGCTGCTCACTTGCTCCCAATCATTCCACCTCAGCAGGCCAGAATAAAGAAAAAGAGGAACAGGAAAGCTTGTGAAGATGAAGACAGGTTGCTTACCAGTTACTATTGCAGGCAAAATGGACTTGACTTGGGAAAAATTATAGCCAATTTATATATATCTTTAATTACTGGTTCAGATATTAAAGACAAACGTTGAAAGAGGGAAAACACCTCTTGTCCCCCTTTTCCAAGCTTAACTTTACTCCAGAGACATTTCCTCCCTGCCTTGTTATTGCCGCAAGTTACATTCGCTTTCTTTAGCGCAGCAACAACGGATGTGGGGAGGATCAAGGACAGGGGTGTTGTGGTCAGTATGTAGGTAGGGGTTTCACTCTGCTCCTTGCTCCTCTCAGTGTTCCTTTGATGTGAGCCTGGTTCTCTACACGCTGCAGAGACTATCTGCTCTGGTGTGGGTCCCATGAGCTGCAGGAAACACATGCTCTGCCATGGAGCTCTTCCTCCTCTGGCCTTGACGTTCCTTGTGCTGGTTCTTGCTCCTTTTTGTTCCCTCTGCCTGCCTGGCATTTTTGCCCTTTCTTGAACATATTTCCCCTTAGGCCCCACCAGCTCGATGGAGGGGCTCAGTGGCTGGAATCAGCTGTGGCTGGCACTGGGCGGCCCAAGCCTCTCCTTGCTGCAGCTCCCCAATACCCAACCCTGACACTGTAGAGTACACCCAGACTGGGATGGCATGTGGTGGGGCAGGAGACACATCATTTTAAGGTAAGAAAGCTGAGAAGTAACAGTCCCACTGTCTTTTGAGCGCTAGCTCATCAAGGAGCTTTGTGTAACAGATTCAAGGGTTTGCAAATCTGATAATATAATTTGCCCTTGTAGAGGCTATTTTGGCTCTTGGAAGTTTGGTATATATCACCTGTGTGGCATTGCAATGCTGTTGGACATACTGCCTTTGAAAGATGGCTGGCTTCAGAAATAACATGAATCTTTTCAAAGGGGAACATGATGGGAAGAGAGTAGTATCAGTATGATAAGTTGTTCTCAGCTACATAACCTTTTGCTTTGGTTTTGGTCTTTGTTAAAACGTACATTTGACAGAAACTAGCTTCAGTGCAGGTGGTTGTTACTATAAACTGCTCTGACTTTGCATGTAGTGGCTCTGTCAGAAACTCTCACTCATGCTAGTTGTGGTGGTCATTGGGGGGGTTTCTGCTTGCTGTGGTCTTGGGAGGGAAAATCAGAGGAAATTACACGTTATAGTCCTGATATTAAAGCCACTTGGGATTTTCAGTAATTCCCTTAGTCAGTTTGTACAAATGGGTTTAATTATGCTTCTCTGCCTTTGGAATTGTAGTAAAAGTTTTGAGAAGCCCACATTACCATAGGATGAGAACACTTTAAAAATTTCTGTAGCAAACCTCCAAAGGCTGCATTCTGGGGATAAAGTGTCCCTTCTTTGCCAGCATTTTAACAGATTGCAATTACATCTGATGTTACGGTGTTGCAATACTGTAAAGGAAGATGGGACAGGAAGGAAGTATTGCATAGTTCTCTATTCTGAAATGGGTAACGGCTTTGTGGCCTTCTTAGGAAAACACCTGATTGTTTTATTGAGGAATAAATCTTCTCTAGAGCAGAGATTGAGAGGATTAACAAATAATTATATTTAACTGGTAAAACTTTTCTGTATGTATTAAATGTGGGTAGTTGCTCACTGCAGAGCATAGCAATTGGCATATTCCTTACCCTGTCTGTTGGGTTTGGACAGTTTGTAGGTCTGCCTCTAAAACTATGTCAAAGTGATACAGTTGTTGCACGGTATTGTTGCTTATTCACTGATAAGGTGGTCATAAGCTTGGCCAATGTACTGCATTAAAACTAAGGCTGTAGTCATAGATCAGTAATTGAAGTGCATGGTTTTGAGAGTGCTGCTGTTCTGGAAATTTTATGTTACCCTCAAGTGAAATTTAAGAAGGAGATAGTTACTTTTTCACCCTTAAATGCAGCCTTGCATGGAGGTTGATGCTAGTAGATCTCTGATGACAAGTTATTTACTGAAAAGTGGAGCTGTGTATACTCAGAAATTGATAACAGAATCTGACTATTTTCACTGGATTTTTCCCACAGTCAGGCTAAATCAGTAGGGAATAGAAACTCATGGTTTTTCTTTATGTGTGGTCAGTACCCAGCCTCTGCTCTTTGTATTTAGAAAAATGAGGTGGTTCAGGTCATTCACCCAGAAAAAAAATCAACTTTACAAGTGATGTAGGATCAAGTTAGCTTATACAGGGTCTTGTGGGCACAAGTACTGGCATGAGAGACAAGTCAAGAATGTCAGTGAGATAAAGGAGGGACCAGGGCAGTGCCAGCTTTTATTGGCTTACATTGCTGTGGAATCGTACCTTTTATAAACTGAAGACTGCATTTTCATATGCAGAAGAAAGTTTTATCCTGCTGCTGACAGGAAAAAAAACATTTTTACAGTGGTAGTTTCCATTATATCATATAGCTACACAACTGTGTGTATTTGGTGATCTTGTAAAGCAGGCTGAATGTGGTTCAGTTTGCAGTGTAACTTTAAGGCTATGCTACTCATCTTCTGTGACATTAGCCTGCCAGATCTGAAGTCATAGCAATTTTAATGTTACTATGCAAGGAAGCTGTAGGTTCCGAAGCAGTTAGAACTTCCAAATGTGAATACAAACTTAATTTTATTTGCTGTTGTGTATATTAGGAAAGCCTATTCAAAGATACGCTGCTGTTAGAAGATAGAAAAGATATAAGATAGATAACATATAAGAACTACATTTCTAGACAAATAAGGAAAATGAAAATTAAATATGACATTACAGATTGCTACAAAACCTGTTCATGGCTACCTTGAAACTTCTGTAAAACTAAATTTGTCTCAACCAAGTGGTCTTTTGCAGGCTGTGTTAACATTAGTATTAAAGTTGACTTGACAATGTAAACAAAACAGACCCAGTTTAGAAATCAAAGATATAATGTTTTTCTACTTCCTTTCACTATTACATTATGATTACAAATTTATAGGAAAATAAAGTTATGGCTTTGTTATTTGTATTAGTTAATACTTTGCATCAAGTGTGGGGAAGGTGCCTGGTTTACAAGAGAATGGCTCATCAAGTTCTGATTGAAGCCTTTGTAGAAGGATAGGAAAAGGAAGACGTATTGCTGTAAGGACTGGGCAAGCTCTATGGCTTGAAGAGCTGTAGGCAGAGTTAGCATAGATGAAAAGGGCGGAGTTAAGAGGAGAGTTAGGTTTGGCCTTGCTTTGGCTAGATATTTGTGAGGCAAGGTAGCAAATTTGTCAGAATAGCTCAGGCAACACTACCTTCTCAACATATGTCACTGCCATATGCATCTTGACTTATGTGTTGCCAACAACAATGAACAATGGGTTTTCAGGATGCTGGTGAAATGATTAATGTGGACACAACCAGTTTGCCTTTCAATGTCATTAGTATTTTGTCTATTCATATAGACATGCCCGATTCACTGATTTCTGCCTGCAGTTCACTGATGATTGGACTGGCAAGGACATTTAACCTAGAACTGCTTTCAATACGTAACTTTCAAATTATTTAAAATTAATTGGAAATGGCTGAACAAGTGAGATGTAAATAGAAGTGTTACCTGTTGTTTTTTTTTTTCTCCTTGAATGAGAATGTGCTCAAGTTGTCTGTTGTCATGGTTTAGGCCCAGCCAGCAACTAACACCACTCTGCTGTTCACTCACTCCTCCACCCTGGTGAGATGGAGAGGAAAAAATATATCAAAAGACTCATGGGTCAAGACAAGGACAGGGAGGGCTCACGCACCAATTATGGTCAGGGACA